ATTCGTTTGCGTGGATTGCTGACGCAAGGCTGTACTCTGACCATAGTAGCGTGGCTTGAGGGAAGCCGAACAATCTTCTATTTCTGGGCATCATCACGATACGATGCGTGGAGTGAGTCGAGGGATCCGCTGGAGAAGTCTCCACTCGAAACTCCGGGTATAGCACGTCCAAGGGATTTTTTTTCTTTCTTTTTTGGCCCGGCGCTTGTTAGAGATGATTTCGTGTCTTTTCTTCCCTTGCAACGCCCTTCCGATTCAACGGAAACACACACAGTCCGAGTCTGAGCATCACCAAGTGGGACTTCTTGGCGAGACGGTCAGAAAAACTCCTAATAGACGGGCGGTGGGGGAGGAAATGGCGAGATATGGAAAGGGAGGTTGAAAGATAATCTGACGATTGGGGGAGGAGGAACGCTGGGCTGAAGAAAGAGGGTGTGCGCGATGAGACGGGCTGGTGGACTTGGCTCAGTATGCAACCTGGGAACCTCCAATAGACGATTGAGAATGGCTTCTTGGGGCTTTCTTGGACACCACCACCACACCGAGACCGGTTTTGACAAGATAGCAAATTACAAGATTGTGATGTGAAAGAAGAGCAGCCACTCCCTGGATTCCTCTTGGATGGGCTTTTGCACTCGACCAACATGATCGTGAGATCGAGATGGAAGTGTGTGCTGTGACCTCCTCGGGATTCCTCCGGACCTAGTAATCTCAACCTATCGAAATCTATTGAACGGTTCTTGGAAGTTGGAGTTCATCACGATGGAGGGGAAAGACATCAGCTGAGCTGCGAACTTGCTAGGATGATGGATCCCGGTTGTGGGTTGTGGACTTTGTGGTTGAAGCTAGCCAAAATTCTGCCCAGGGATGGTAATGAGGAAGTGCACCCTTTTTCCTGGGGGAAAGCTGCTTGATCAGCTGGAAGTGAGGGGTCAAGACCGGATGGCGTCGGATGCTGTGCCCGGGAGGGCGTGGGGAAATCCTACCGAAGGCCGAACGGTGGTGTATGGAAACAAAAGAATCCCGACGAAGGCTTTGCCAACAATAGAAGGTGAGGATGGAAGGAACAGGGTAAGTGAAACGGATGAGCTGTCAAAATGTGAGATTCACTGCGGATGAAGGACATTGCATGCAGGATATGCGATGACAGTTGGCAGCGGCGGTTGCAAGAAATGCGCATATGACGAACTCATCCACCATCTCGTTCTCAGCTCACCCATCATGCGAACAGCGGCTGTTACCGACCCGTTTTCTGGAAAAGACCGCATTCTGCATTTCTGATATCTGACCGCTTCTTTCATCACGCAAAAGAGAAAGAGCGGAAATCTCGTCCGTTCAAAACTAGTGTGACAAGTTATCAACGGATCTCTGCATCGTTTGCCTTTAGCTGCAGGAACACGATGAAGATGCCGACCGTTCGCGGCTTAGTCTCTAGCTTCCTTGGCTCCATCTCAGGCACCATCACATCAGACCAGAAACTTGCGTGATAAGTGCAGTTGCTTTCCGCAGTACAGCGGATGTACTACCAAGAGGAGAAAAGTCACGAGGAGTGTGTGTGTGTGTGTGTGTGTGTGTGTGTGTGTGTGTGAGTTTGGTGTGTCCCTTTTTTTGCCATCCGCCGCCGCGCCAATCCTAAAGAGGCTGAGACGAGTGTCCATCGCACTTAAAAAAACATCTCGAGATTCGTCCACTCAGCAGCTGCGGCAGTGGCTTGTTGTTCTTTTCCCATCTCCTCCCAGTGCCTCCCTCCCTTTTCCCACTTCCGTTCACGCTAGGCGGCAGCGTTTTGCAGCGTTTTGCAGCGTTTTGCACTCTTTGGGTATGGTTCAGGTGGGATCGTCAACGTCTGGGGGGAAGGAGGGGGGGGGGGGGTTTAGATCAGGATCAGATCAGGCGTGTCCTGCTGAACGATCGCGGTCATGGTATCGGGGTTCGTCAGCAGCGTTTATCTTTCCGAGGCAAGGGAGAGAAAGCTGGAAGGTGAGTGAATGGTTGTTGAAGGACGGATGAGGGTGGTGCCCCTGTCTCGGTCCGACATCGCGTTTCTCTGAACTTTTCTGAAGGGGGAAACTCACGGCCGTTGATGATCACCCGTAACCGCATGGCATAGCATTGGCGATGGGGTCAGATAGGCAAAAAAGGGTCCCCCGATGCACGATGCGGGATGGAAGCGAGGGCATCACGCAGCCGACTCCGCAGAACAAGTTGCAAGAAAATTCCCAGGATCAAGCAACTCAAAAGCACAACTGGGGATTCGAAGCGGTGGGCAAAAAGAATCAAGGAGTGTTCCAAGGCGATCAGTGGTCATCGCAGGAGCGCCTGCGCTGCTGATCAGCCACACCAGCACGACCAGGAACCACTTGATCGGTGATCTTCACTAGCCGATTGGTTGTCAATTCATCATTCTCGGAATCAGCTTCTGGCTGGCTGACAGGGCCTCTTCAGGCTTCATCCCACTTCCTTGTCGTGCTTGTGTGACTGTTTGAGGATGGGTAATGTTGCAGACGAGCTGGAGAAGCAACGCCACACATGCACATACACCCCACCTCCCCTCCCGTCGGTGTAGGTGTGCGTCCAAGGGCCCCGAGATATCAATGTTGGATGGCGACGGGTAATTGGCTGCGTGGCCATGCATGCCTCTCCGGCAGGGACGGGATCAAAAATCAGGTGTTCACGACATACTGCTGTGGTCGTACGTGTAAAGTGCAAGACACCACCACCCAGGGGAATCGGCAACGCGAAACAAGAAGAAGAGAGTTGCTGTGCGTCCGGAGAATATACTCTGCATACCTACGCAAGCGGGATCACAAGAAAAGTGTGTCAAGGCGAAGTGAAAGTTACGGGAGGACGCAAGCTGCCCCGTCTCTTTCTATCCATGTCTTGAGAAAGTCGAGGTGAGTCGCCAAAATGTCTCTGTTGTCGTCGTCTCGGGTACCGTCAGACGGGTTCCCCTTGTGCCCTTGGCCCCCTTCAAAGTTTACAGGTTCACCGGGAGAGACATTATCGCGATCAGCATCGAAGATTGCAATTGCAAGAAATATGAAACACACGGCCTCGCGCCTGTGGGACGTATCTGAAGCCGTAGCGTATCCTTTGAGATCTCTTTCGGCTTCCGTTCGATTAGAAAGCTCTGACAAGCCATAGCAGACACGTACCTAGTGTAGAAGGCAGATGAAGCGAAGCGGTAGAACGAGCGTGGAAAAAGATCAGACGTGTTGATGAAATTTGTTATGCTTGTTCAGACGGAACGATGAACGGATGACGTATCGTAACGTCGCCGTCAGCGCCCGTTTGGGAGCGTGCCCTCCGCTGATCCGCCTGAGATCCACGGCCACCTGCTGTGAGAGGTATCCTTTCGTGCCTTTAAAGCCCATAAGAGGGGGGGACTTGGTCAGGTACACCTTGCCCTCGTGGACGTGCCCTCGCCGGATACTTCGGTACGTATCGTTAATCATCATCGCCGTGGGACTGAACTTGGGGAACCAGAAAGAAGCGGCCAGTTGATACTGCTGCTGCTCCTGCTGGAACCAAGGGTACGGAGTACTTTCCAGAGCCGAGAGAGAAGGACAGGAAGGAGACGGGAGTTTCTTGACCAGGTGACCCTGGAAGAGCAGCTGCCCAAGGACTTTCAGAGTCACAGGCTGTCCAACACCGCCTTGCTAAACCCCCTGTCCCCTATTCATCTGCCTCAATCGGATGTCAGCCTGGTCAATTCTTTTCTTCCTTCTCTCTTGTTTCCGTCCCCGTCCCCGGAACTCTCTTTTTGCTGTGAACTAAATTTGGTGATTGCTCCATCGTGTGCTTCGTTTTTTCGAGCTGGGCATTTCCAGAGCCTTCCAAAACCACGAAGAAACCACCAAACAACCACAAAAACATTCTCCCCGTTTAGGAACGCTAGTCTCGCCTCGTCTCTCGTCCGGGACAATTCAGGACTCCAGGTACGCACATTCGGCATTCTTCCCTCGTTGCTGTTCCTCCGGGAGGAAGAAGGCCACGCACGACCATCCGCAGCAGGACTTCAGACGGCACATCTGACCGCCGAGAAGTTGGAATTGGAATGACGACTTCCTTTTTGTTCTGTCCACTTCGCTTTCTCTTGGGTGTAATGTAAAAACTTCGCCATACGACAATTCGGTAAGGTCTGAGCAACGAGCTAGGGATGGGAATAGGTAGCGCCACGCAAGCGCAGCCTTGTCCTTGGGATTCGACTCGCGTCCACGGCGGTGAGCAATAGACATTCACGCCGGTCGGGACGGGCGGCGTCCATTCTCGCGAGATCTTTCGATCTCTTTCTCCGTCTCTATGTACTCCGTAGGTAACATCTCTCGTCCTCTCCGTCGTTCCGTCTCTGTTGGAGTTACCGTGTGTCCGGTCTCTCTGGCAGCATCTACAATCTTTCACAAGCACCTCGGATACGTATACCACCCTCCATTATCTCTCGGCGTGGCATGCGCCTGATCCTCTTAGCCTCTTCCTCTCAGTTGAGCCCCTCCCACTCCCGTCATCCATCCATCCCAAAATTCCTATTCGACATGCGGAACCTGCAAGGCACCGTCTCTCTCATTCCTCAAGAACCCTTCCCCCCACCACCCTAGCAAGAGCTAGTGGCTCAACTCACTAGCGTGTGAGTCCTACTTCCTCGTTCTTCGTTCCTCTTCCCACCCTGCTCCGTTCACGTCTGTGTAGGCTATCCTCTTTTCAGCCTCGATCGTCAGGGACCTTAGTCTCCGCGGCGTGCTGTGCCCAGTCCACTTGTGCGGTGTGCGGCGTGCGTGTACGGATACCTGTCTTGTCTCTCTCTGCAGCGTAGCGTACCCATCCTCGCGTCCGCTCGCTTTTCCCGCCTGGGGGGGGGGGTGGATGGTGGTGGTGGTTTGCTTGCCTGCCTGTCGTGCCTGCTTGCCGATTTGCTCATCCCCACGCTTGGCAGGCAGATGTGGTTCCCCATGAAAATCCTGGTTTCGGCCGTCATGGATGATGAAGTTTTATAATAAGACCAATGCCCGCTGTCGTTTCCCAAGGTGTGAAGTGCCCTGTCCCTGATCTCCCTTCAACCACTTGACACCCTTGTCACCATATAACAATCACACTCCTTGAAGACTATCCATTACACACTTGTGTGGTAAAATAAAGTTCTCCTGTGGTAACATACCATATCTACAACATCCTACCTTCCAGCCTCACTCTCACCTTTCTTCTTTCTTTGGCAAGCTTCCTTCTCTCACCGTACTTCCTCTCCCGGCATATCAAATACCAACATCCCGGATACAAAAGGGAGGAAACACAGGAACGACTAGGATTGGGAAACAAAACCAACAAACTATATTTCGACCACGACAAAAGGTCTACGCCAACGGGCCATTCACCATCTCGAAGGAGTTATACTAAGCTCTCACGTACACATCATCACGATGCCTTCACCATTATCTATCGAGGGGGCCCGTCACCCGGAAGCTCTCCACACCCGCAAGCCCTCCCTCACCAACTCAGTCTCCAGCAGCGACTCCTCATCAACACAATCAACCCGCTCAACAGCAACTATGCGCCACACAAGAGTCCTCGACTTCGACCCCCTCTCACTGCACCCGACCTTCCACGCACCACCAAGGCTTTACGAGAGGCCTTTCATCCACAACTCCCAGTCCATCGAGGATGAGGTCATCAACTCGTACTTCTCCAGCCAGGAGGCAGCCGCAGCCGCCGAAGACAAGGCAAAGGCCTCCTTCGCCGCCGCCATCCCCGACATGCCCGTCCCGCCAGTCGACTCACCACGGACGCCGATCCAACAGCAGGAGAGGTCCCGGGAACATGCCGCCGAGGGCGACGACTACTTTCTCTTCAAGGTCCAGCAGCACATCGCCTCGACGAGACCGCAGCTGCCGCGGTCTCACTGGTCCGAATCCACCATCAACACCATGGCATCCCAGCATGACGATGATGACGAGGATTCCTCCGAGGACGGCAGCTTCGTCGACGAGGAGAGGCCCGTGAGGGAATCACAGTGGCAGAACTTCTCCATCAAGCGCAGCTCGCCCTCGAATGTACGACGACCAGCGATGAAGTCTCTCGATAGCGTCGAGGACTTTATCAAGCGCGGAGGCTGGAAGAGACGCGGCATTGTCTTTGAGCAAGAAGCCGCCCGAACTTCCAACACATTGTTCTAAGGAACATCTACCCAACTCAAATCATTTTCTTTTGCACAACATCTCATCAAAACTCACCATCGACTACTTCATCAAACTTCATCGACATCATTCACTCTTCAAATATTTCCTATCATCTGTCTAGGGCAGCAAAAACGGCGAGAGACACCTCTGAGGAGGGCGTTTTTAACGGCTTTCACGACAGCGGGCGCATCTTTTGTTGCTTTATTTTCCTTCAATATCTCTTTTCCAGCGAGCCTCTTGTTTTACGTCTTCTATCTGATATCCCTTTTTTTTTTTTTTTTTTCCCCCCTATCTTGGGCTATTCAGATTGAATCCCTCTCACCGATTTCTTCTGTAAGACTACGGCACTTGGAGGTGCACGGAAGGGGGCATTCATATTGACGTCATTTTCCGGGACGCGGTTCATCTTTTTGGGGTATACACAAAAAAGGGGATCCTTTTTACGCACGCGCACGCACAGGCGAACTGTCAACGGCAAGGATGGGAATAGGCCTGTCTACTACGGCAGGACATCGAGCCTGAAGGGGGAACACGGGGAGGGGTGTGGACTGGTTTAGGCGGGCGGGCTGGTCGAAAAAAATACGACACACGCCCCGATATAAGCATCATCTTCATATTGTAATTTTATTCACGAAAGAACAAACCTGGCAGGCATATCTTTAATGCAGCTGGGTTCTTCTTTCTGGTTCACAACATCACACAATTTCTCTGATACCGATGATCGATAATGTGAAGCAGTGATGCCATGATCGGGCACTTTGCCTTGGAAGTAAAAAGGGCCTTACACGGACGTATACCCATTGTAAAATCTGATGCGATGCATTTCATGTTTCTGACTTCATCGTCACGGTCACGCTGCCCAATATTCTACCCCAATATTATTTTCCATTGTCGCCAACCTTGTTATGACGATCATATTTCGTCTGAGGTCTCATGCCGAGTCAATGCCAAGCATCAACCCCCTGGCTGCCCATAGGTAAGAACCCAAGAGTAAGAATGATGCAAGAATGAATTCGAACAATTGGGCACCTGACTGACTGACTGACTGACTGGGTTCCGCGGAGACGGGAACTTAGTCAGTGAACCTTTTTCCCATTCAAACCCCTGGCTTGCCGGTTGGGCATCTCTAAATCGTCCCATCAACCCTTGCGACAATTCTATCCATACCCGGCACAAAATGACAAAAGAATGTTTCCGCGCTGTTCCTTGCCGTGCCGCTGCAAGGGTACCGAAAACAAACCCCTCCACAAAATTTGCTTGGGTAGTCAGAACATTTTGGAAATTAGGCTTTCGACTTGAAGCCCGTAAGGCCGCCCTTGAGGAATTTGAGAAAGCTCCAGATCCGACCGAACTTTGATGGAACACGGAACCCACGGCGGCACGGGCGTGTAGTTTTGTTTAATGACCTTACGGTATCCGTACATGGTACCCATCGTGGGCCTCTTCCTTCACCGACGGGACTCGCGAGTGCAACCCTTTCAAAAAGTTTCTTGCCTACCAGTCTACCTTACGCACGGGAGACATGGTGCTCTACTGCTGCTAGACCATCCGCAAACTATGGAAAGACGAGAGACGGGACAGCTAGCCTTGAAGATTGTTTTTGGGGCCCAGCACCCCAGTACATAGGCCCGAATCTCTTGTCCATCCCTCGACTTCTCACAGTCTCGAGTCTTTTTGCCAATCAATGGATGGGCCCAGTAAGCTACCTACCCGCCCGGCGCCCGCTCTTGGGGGAGACGGACATGAGCCGAGCCTTTCCCACCGACTGACCGAAGTCTCCCACCGGAGACGAATTGGGGATCTGATTTTGCAAGCAAAGAAAACGTGAGCCGGCCAAGCCCGGAGCTTCTCGGGGATTCAGGACTTCTGGACGCTGGTTGGACAATTGCCAAATCCACCGCGTACACCTTCAGCTTCATAGGTTTCGCTCTCGCCGTGTACTTTCACTGGGGTAGGCCATACCAAGATGCCGGAGAGGCGTCGATTACGAATCTCTTCGTGCTAGTCCAACACTCCAGACTCTACATGGTATCTTTGCGAGTGGGGTTTTGTTTCCCGCGATGGTGGCATGGTGCCGGGCTGGGGGGACAGGATGCCATCGAATGTGTCCACGTGGACATCCAAACCTCGTGGCGCAGCATTCTTCTCACTCTCTGCACCTCGTGCTCGCGTTTCGGTTTCCCAGCTCTCCTAAGTTCTCTCACCACCACCACCACATGGCTGTGTTGGCTCTCGAATGCGACGCTGCGGAAGTGCTGGGATGGCTGTGCCTGACAGGCACAGAAGCTTAAACACCCAGGCAGGGCCCCGCTGTGCTGGCGGCGGCGGCGGCGGCGGCGCGGACAAACAGCTCCAGCTCTCCTCCGGGTGATACCACCTTATGGTGAAGGTGCTTATGAATTCTCGGATTCGACAGCTCATTGATAGTGGGAACCAGAGGCTTGGCATAGTACAGTAGCACTGAAGACTGAAAGGGCGAGGTTAAAAGCTTCGACTCTTCGAGCCTCGGGGTCTTTGAGAAACAATTTTGAGTTCAGCGCGACAGGGGCATAAATTGTTTTTCCAAAAGGGAAAAGGGTCAAAGCTTCCCAGAATTAACCTTTCATCACGGGGGGTGTTGGGATGCCAAAATAGGCTTGCTGAAGAAGAGTTACGACCGTAATTCCCGGAAGACGGCTTTTCGGTCTTTGAAGTTTGAACTCTACCAGGATGAACAGGGAGATCTCGTCCGTGAGACTGTGAGACACCTTTCTCGTGATCGATAGTTTTGCTGCCACGCTGACCGGCGCAGTAGGTAGTAGAGGCCGCGCTAGCCAAGGCACCCACAATGCCGAGCACGCTGCACCCCATCCGTACAGGGAAATCTCTTCGAATCCGGACGACCGTTTGCGCTTGTCAAAAGGTGCATTTGGTGTCGAGATCTCGCGGGAGGTAGCCAATCGATTCGGGAGGAGGATAGGATACGATGGGTGGGGGCACGGTCGTTTCCCGTAGTGGATGCTCACGATTCTTCAGCTGGAGTCGTAGGAGTGGTTCACGCCTAGGCTCTAGCGGGGGTTGGCTCCATCGTGAGAATTGGTGACTTGAGAGGTACTTGCGATGCTAGCTCGCATGTACGAGTCGTGCGTGAATGGATTCACTCTCGTGGACCGTAGCAGTGTGTGTGTGTGTGTGTGTGTGTGTGTGATTGTGTGGGCGATGATCTTTATCCTCTGGGTCCAATGGATCATTGGATACGGATAGCTACCAGAGCCTTGGAAACCAACAAAAGCTGACAGCTCCAGTGTGGATGGATGACTGACTTCATCTCGTTCCAGCGCGCTGTGGGGCCCGCTCGGGCTGCTGGGTACGGTGCACTACGAAGTACAGATGCACACCGGACGATGGTAGTGTAAATGTGATGGGCGGATGACATTGCGGGAAACTTCAAGCGGGTGTGTTCATGAGTCGTGACAGCTTCTAGAGAACAGGGGGCCCGTGCTTGGAGGACCGTTGCTGACGCATCACATTTCCATCAACACGGCACATAACTGCTGTGTCCACGTCAGGGTTTCTTAGGCTGCTGGGCAATGATGAGATGAACATCATCACTCCTGCCGCTTCATGGTGGGCGACGTGTCGAGGCCAAAAACTTGGAATTTACAATGACTGCCGAGTAGAGGATAGGTCATAATGCCATTCTCGAAATACGGATATAGCAACAAGAAAAGGAGATGAGACAGAGACCCTACAACCTACAGGCATGCATGTGAGGCTGAGTTACCAGACATGCAGGTACCCGTGGGCTCGTGCTGTGTGATTTGGCGCCCCTTGCTTGAACTGTGGCAAATTAGAGAGTCTCGTGGATGCGACAACGCACCGGAGCCTCAAAAAGAAAGCAGTGGTTCTCTCCCAGGGACATGGAAGGAAAGCTCCTCGGCGACGCTGCAAGGGAGGGAGGGCTATAGCCTATGGCTCTGATTGCAGAATGAGGCTTGTTGTCCCGGGAAGGACATTGACAGGGGCTACGAATTGGGACAATGATGAGAGATTGGGGGCGCGGTTATTATCAGACCCGAACTATCGGTTTTCACCGATGCAGTCAGCTTGCTTCGTCTGATGTGAATTCTCACTCCACGGCACGTGTACATGACTGCTAGACCAGGGGATGACGGGTCATTGGGTCCAGAATCCAGGAACAAGGGATGACAGCGACGGTGGGAAGAGGATGGGAATACGGAGTTATGATGGCAACGTTGGGAGCCTCTAAATCCGCCTAGCAGCTTGAGTTGGCCAAACAATTGGCCCTTTGGGAGATACAATTGGAAACTGCCGCGGAGAGCGACGTAAATTCCACAAAATTCGCTCCGTTGCCCAGGGATCGCAATGTCTGACCCAACCAAACTACTCCAGTAATTAAGCTACATTTTCCAATTCGCGTGCCATTCGGCCATCCACGCGGCTACAGTCCATGGTTTCGGTGAAGAGATTTCTCGTCGGGTTACCTGTGGTCTACGAATACAGTTCACACTTCACAGTCCACCTCGTCAGCCCAGCCCTGGCGCGAGGTCCGTGGTGGCCTCTTTTTGCTGTTCATCTCATAATTGTTCACTAATCCCCACGACGACAATGATAACCTCGGGAGGGACCACGTCCTGGTCAGTGAGTGAAAGGGACCCATCATCTTTTCTTTCCCGCCGCCTCACTAGTTTACATGGTGGGTACTCTCATCTTCTCACCTAAAGCTGGGCGGCTATTTCTGGGCGACTTTTGGCAGGGTGAAAAGAGAATTTTCTGCGTTGTTTTACGAGAAGAAACGAAGGATACGATGGGCAGAAAACAATGGCATCTGCCCCTCTCTGCCGACAAACATCGCTCCCCGCCCGCCCGTGTCCGCCTCGTGATGATGGATGCTGAGCCTGGTGGGCTTTTTTTCTTTTCTTCTCTGCCCAGCACTCGAATAACGTAGAACAGCCGGTCTAGCCGCGCCAGCCTGTTATTCCCCAAGACGTTTCGGCTTTTGAGGAGCAAGTGCTCTCCCGCGATGGAGACTGGTCGGTGCTTTCATACCCTCACAACGCAAGCGCGACGGCGGCTCCTAGGGCATTGTCATAGCACCCGCGCCGCTATGAAGGCCGCCACCGTGGGCGTGTGGGCTTTCCTACACAATCACGAGTGGCGATGTGGATGTGGGCGCTGATCGTGATATCGGCGTCGCCTCATTGATCTGGTATAGACACTCGGACTCATCGCACTCACGGGGTCTCGGGCAGAAAATGTTTTCCAAGGACATTCTGGAGGAGCCTCGTTTCCATGTGAGGGATGGCATTGAGCGCGTGGTCATCATCATCATCATCATCATCATCATCATCATCGGTACCACGATGGGTTATGCATGAAATTTTAAGCCAAGCGGGCTAGCTGAGCAAGGCTGGCTAGGTACCTCAGGTCAGGGCAAGTCTCGATATATCGGCGCTCAGCTTCCGCCCCTGTATAAGCTCCGCCATCACCTTGCCCGTCCCGAGACTCAGACTGATGCCCCAAGGCCCATGTCCCGCCGCGAGAAACACCCCGCCCTCGGCGCCGGTACGCGTCGCGACGCTCCCGAGCCGGTCATCCGGGATCCGGGTCAGGATAGGAGCGCCCGAGTCCGTGGCCGGGCGGAAACAGAGACCCTCCCGGACGACTTCAAGGTCCGATTCGCTGTCGTTGCTGTTCATGATGATGCGTGCCGCTGTGCTTTTGAGCTTGGCGATGGCTTCGGCGGAGATGGGTGCTTGGCCTGGTAGAGGCGGGAGAGGGGTGGATGGTGAGTTCAGGCCCGCGATGTAGACGTTGCCTCCGACCCGCGAGAATATCTCCGGCGAGAAGCCGGCTCCGTCGGTGCTGAAGATGGCGTGGCAGGCTGTCGTCGTCTTTTGGATCTCATCACTCGAGTCTGAGGGGGTGGGCTTTGGCTTCAAGACGAGCGAGTGCCCCGCGAGGATGGAGATGGGCAGCTCTAGTGATGTCCCGGGAAACAGCTGGGAGAAGACGCGAGGCGACCAGGCGCCGGCTGCGATGACGAGACGAGTACAGGGAACGTCTGTCTCTGTAGAGGACGTCGTTTCCCCTATGCGGACTGATGAGAGTTCGTCACGGAGGTCGGTGTGGATGGAGAGGACTGTGGCTGGGTGGTGGACGTGGACGCCGGCAGATTTGCACTCTTGGAGAAGGAATTGGCATAGGCGGAGGGGATCCCTGGTGGTTGGAGTCAGATTTCGTGCTCAGACAGCATGTTGGACCGGCTTGATAGAGGAAGAGAGGGTGTGTACATCATATATGTGCTGCATGAGTGCATGAAGCTGGACTGGAGACGCACACTTGGCCCGTGGTTTCTGGATCCCCGATGATCTGCACGTCATCGCCATGCTCCCTCCTCAGCCATGGTGGCCCATTACTCGGAGTCTCGACAGCTTCGACAACCTCTGCTCTGCTCCCGCCACCCCGCAACCAGTCGGCGTCTTTCTTGCCCTTCTTTACCGGTGCTGCTGCGTGGCTAAAAGTCGTACTCGTAGACCAACCCCATTTCTCCCTGCCGCCATGCTCCTCGGCGAGCTTCTTGTGCTCATCAAAACTCAACGCTCCGAGGGAGGCCGAGGCGGGTGAGAACCAGTCTCTCGCGAGGAAGCCACCTGCGTACCCTGACGCTGAGGCGAAGAGCTCTGGTGATGGGTCGACTAGGTGGATTGTTGAGCCTGGTTGGTGGTCTGCGAGGTAGTATGCGATTGAAAGGCCAATGATGCCAGAGCCTAGTATCACTGTTGAGCTCATTGTCGCAGTAGCGGAGAAGAGACAAGGCCTTGTGAACCGTTGAAAGGAAACCTAAAGCTTGAAGCTCGAATCGCGAACAATGATGTTATGTCATAGAGCTCGAGCTCAAGCAGACCGGAGCTCTCGACCCCGCCAAGCTGATAAGATAAGGACACTCGATGCTCCAGGCCCCGCTCCACTGCACAACGCAGAAACAGCAAGAGCGCTCCGCTGCTTCGGAATGGCGCAAGCCTCCCAATCCATCTTCGCGTTGCAGAGCCTTTTTTTTCTTCTTTTCTTGTCTAGCTTGCTGCACTCCTTCAGCTGATCCTAATCCGTGAATCAACTTTGGTAAAAACCCCCAAGCTTAACGTCGCATCTCTCGCAGAGCAAGTCATTACACAACATGGCCTCAAAGGTGATTATCGTCACCGGCGCCAGCCGAGGCATTGGCCTCGCCATCGCCCAGCATCTCATCAAGGAATCCCATAAAGTTGTCTTGGCGGCGAGATCCAAGGGTCAGTTGGAGGCTCTGAAGGCTGCTCATCCTGGGCAGGTTGAGTATGTTGCTGGGGACTTGGGGGATCTCCAGGTACGACTGGAAGATGACTCTGTCAAAGGGATCAGATCTAACAATGCATGCAGACCATTCCCAAAATTGCCGAGGCAGCAGTCAAGGCCTTTGGGAAAATTGACGGACTCGTCATCAACCACGGCGTGTTGGAGCCCGTCACCCGGCTAGCAGACTCTTCGATCGAGGAATGGAAAAAGGCATATGACATCAACGTCTTTAGTGGGCTTGCATTGGTGAGTGAAAACTCTGATTTCATTCTTCTACTCTTTCTAATCTTGATCATCAAAAGGTCCAAGCCTCTCTGCCTGAGCTGCGCAAGTCCAAGGGCTGCGTCCTCTGGGTGTCCTCCGGCGCGGCCACTGGCGCATACGCCGCATGGGGAGCCTATGGTACATCCAAGGCCGCCATGAACCATCTCTCTGCACACTTGGCAGTGGAGGAGCCTGACATCACCAGCATCGCCATGAGCCCTGGCCGCGTCGACACTGCCATGCAAAAGGTCATCCGTGACACGGGAGCCAGGCACATGGCCGACAAGGACCACACCTCCTTCGTGTCTGCTTTTGACAAGGGAGAGCTGTTCAAGCCTGAGCAGCCTGGCAACGTCATGGCACGGTTCGTCGTTAAGCCTCAGCACGACCTCTCGGGCAAATACTTCAAGTGGCAAGCTGGAGAGCTTTCGGCGTATCATGACGCAGAGTAAGATAGTTCACTAGGAATTGGTTGTTAGCAACTATTTTACCATAGAAGTGTAAATAGAAAAACGTTGATAACAAGATGCCTCAGATGAAAGATGAAAAGCTCATATTTGATTCCACATAGTTTATTCAGGATTAGCATGGAATATGTGTCATCATCACTGGCAAGCCTTCGCAGGCGACGTTGAAAGAAAGTTTTTCGCGTTTGCGGCTTACCTTGAGCTAGAAATCTGTTGGCGTGGGTCGGTGAGCAAAAATCGCTGCGTCCCAACACAATGGCAAGCTCGATCAGGCACCCCAGCTTCTCCAAACAATCCAGGGAGGCATGACACAGGCACCTCATATCAAGTTGACCATCGTCGCTGGCGCATGCGTGCATAGCAGGGCATTGATTGAAATTGCGGCAGGCGCATACTCTGTCTGGAAATCTTGTTAGCAATGCGGTCTAAGACTAGAACTGCAGCAAAAACAAAAGATTCATGGTGATAGATCAGATAGTATCCGTTTGGCAGGAAGGTCATTCACCACTATGAGGGGAGTTATTCCTCGTAAGTTTGGGGCGACAACAAGGTTCATCATATCGAAATGGAGGGGGAAATAGAGAAGAGACCTACCAAGTTCAATCCCAGCAAGCAGCAGAGCCGCCAGCTGCTCTGGCATTAGAGCGCATGGCCGTTCCTGAGCTCTGCTGTTTGCTGATGCGAAAAAGAAGAAGAGGCTGAACCATCGTGGAATATTTCGTCTTTTAAGGCTAAGAAAAAATTTGGAGTGATTGGGGACTGTTGGCCCGTGCGGTGCGGAATCACGGAGACATCTTTCGCCGGCGCACCGTGGCACCTTACCGCTGACTCTGAATGGAATTTCACTGTGGAAAAGTGCGCCCCACCACGGGCGGGACCAGGCAGTGACTGAGCCTTCACTCTGTGGCTCAGTGGCCCCTGCTTCCTCAAGGCGCGCGGGGGGTTCAAATGCACTCGATGTCCCGCATCCCGAGGAGCATAAAAGACCCCACCAAACACACGGTCGGAGACTGAGCGAGCCAGACCTACAAACCTGTCGGAGATAGCCTAATCAATTTGCATGTCCACCCCGCCACCGCGTCCTCTTCACCACCCAGCTACCAATTTCAGTATAAGTCAACGGTCGACATAAGAACCACACGGATCTTTTCTACATTTTCGCATCACTATCAAGGCAAACACTACAATCTTGCTGACAAGTACACGATATCGACCACGCTCTCCAATCTTGCCCACATTCCCAGTTGCATCGACACTCTCGTCTCACACTACAACCATGTCTGACCACGATATCGCGGGTAAGTCTAGATCGATCTTTCCTTCAGCACCTGGGCGACCTCCATGAGACTTTCTGTTCGCTCTGCCATTGTGCCTGCCTGGTGTTCACAACTGGGCATCACAAGCGACTTGTCCCTGCCCTGCAAGCTTGGCCAAATCCTGGTGATGGTCTTGATGTAAAAGACGTCGCATGCAGCAGCTTGCTTTGCATTATGTCACAGTCTCATTACACCTCGCAGGCAACATGTTGTTCAAAACGCACAGCGGATAGAAGCCTCTGGGTACCTTTTGGTGTACACTCAGCCTGATTCTCGAACTTGAAATGCTAACATGACTTTACTAGGCAACGATGACCTGTCCTTACCCAAGGGTATGTAACACCACCACCAATAGATGTCTCTCCCATGGCACATCTCTGACTACCCCTTTGTCAAGAGTTCTGAAGCTAATTTGCTACACAGCCACCGTCCAAAAGATCGTTACCGAGATTCTGCCGCCTTCAGCTGGCGTTGCCTTTGCCAAAGAGGCTCGTGACCTGCTTATTGAGTGCTGCGTCGAGTTCATCACCCTCATCTCCTCGGAAGCCAACGAGATCTCAGAGAAGGAGGCAAAGAAGACCATTGCATGCGACCACATCACCAAGGCCCTTGAGCAACTGGGTTTCGCAGACTACGTCCCGGCCGTACTAGAAGCCGCGGCAGAGCACAAAGAAGTGCAAAAGGTATGCCAAACGCCCTAATGTGACCTGTATGACGGGACATGTGATGGCTGACACCTGTACAGGGACGTGAAAAGAAGGCAAACAAGTTCCAAAACAGCCAGATTCCCCTCGAGGAGCTGGAGAGGATGCAGAGAGAGGCGTTTGAAGATGCCGCCAACCGCCACGCTTAGGCTACGTGTGCATAAGGAAAAGAATAGGTGTTGGCTGCGTTTGATTCCGCATGGTTTTGGGGTTTGGCGTTCAGGGTACATTGGGACAGAGAGTTTATGATTCTTACAACGCTGACGACTGCATGAATCCGGCTCAAGGGCCGTGGTAGGGTTGGCTTTGATGAAAACGACCGTTCGGCACATGGTTATCGAGTAGTCTCTTCGGCACATCAATACAAAACTCATGTTGATTGGGTCCAGCACTTTCGTTCGTTCGGTTTGCTTCGGTTCGACGTATCTTATCTGCATGAGTATATATGATCGACCTATATATATCGAATTCGTTAACGTCCCTCATGATCAACCTCCCAGAAAATCAACAACGCCAGAGTTCCCATATGTATACCCATGGAACCGCAATCCCTCTTCCGTATGAAACCCTTCCCAACACCTTGTCTACCACAGTCGTCGCTGGTAGTACACTCTCTCTTCGCTTTCCGACAAACGCCTCAGCTCCTCCTTGATCAGCCGCCGCCTCTCGGCCCGGCTGATGGGCTTCTGGTTCGACGCTTCAGGATCCGGATTCGCCTGGTCCTTGACGTTCCACCCGTTGATATTCCTCTCCCTCTCGTCCATCTTCTCCAGATCTTCCCTGCTGACCCCGCCCTTATCCTCCTTTTCTGACGGGCCCGTCATCTTTTGCCACATATCGGACGTCCATCCAGCGGCCTTTTGTCCAGCCTTTTGCTTCTTCGTCTGTTGCTGCTGCTGCTTTTGTTGTTGCTTCTCGGGCACAGTAGGGTTCACCTCGATGATGATCTGCTCCTGCTTCCCGTTCGCACCATAAAGCGGCACACTCTGTTCTTTGCCGGCTGTGTCCTTTAGGTGCTCGGGAACGTAGTACGACGCCTTTGGGGAGGGTCGCGATTCGGGCTTGATGGCTTCGCGCAGCTGGCTCAGCGTGCGCTGTTGGATTACGTAGCCGCTAAGAAAGAGAGCCGCAGTACATGAGACGACTATTAATTACGAAGAAATGCGTTTGCACGCAAACGCGGCTCGCCGCCTCGCGTGCAGGAACGCATACTGAGATTAGCCCGTTTGTCATGATTGATTTGGGAGAGCGGGACTGGAATGCGGGAACGGGGGAGGGCGGGTGTTACCGATGGCTGAGGAAATGATAACGGAGACTTGGGAGGAGGTGAGGAGCACCATGGCAACTGGAATTTTATGACAGAATAACGGCTACTGTTGGATTTCAGGAGCTTGAAGAAAGATTTGGGTCAATGATTTGAATGATTCTTGGATGATTTAGAGCTTCGTTGATGGGCATCGGCTTTTCACACCTTCGCCAGCGTCGCAGTCGTTAGAGATGCGCGGCGTGAGCGTGAACTTGGAAGTGGGCTGTTTACTTGGTTCACACGGCAACAATCGATAAGCACCATTCAATTCGGCCAGACCTCCCAACTTTTCCAACCTGCGTCACTCGCGAAAGCTCCCGTCGCATCACTGCCCACCCCACTACCCGAAGAGCTACCCTTCGACGAAACGCGACTATCCCCCAGCCATTGAAGCCAAGCCATCATCGAAGCTTCCCGCATCACAATCAATTCGCAAAACAGTCAGGCCGAATCTCAACGACAACACCCCCACTCCTCCCACCCGAAAAACAGATAAATCGCAAAGATGAGCAAACCCGACCTCGTCTACGCCGACGAGCGGCGCTTCCTCGACGAACGCGGCTCCTCAGCCTCCCTAGCCCCCAACGGCGAGAACCCAGCCACAATCATGGAAAAGGCCGTCCGCGAGCGCATCATCGACTCCTACTTTTACAAAGAGCAGTGCTTCGCCGTCAACGAAGCCGACATTGTCGACCGCGTCGTCGAGCACGTCACTTTTATAGGCGGCACTTCGGGCGTCACGCAGAAGCCCACGCCGTTCCTGTGTCTTGCCTTTAAGCTGCTGCAGCTCGCGCCGTCGGACGAGGTGCTGGAGACGTATTTGGGGTTCGGCGGGGAGAAGTTCAAGTACCTGCGCGCGCTGGCGTGCTTTTACGTGCGCATGACGAGGAAGGCGAAGGATGTGTACTTGTTTCTGGAGCCGTTTTTGGAGGATCGGAGGAAGTTGAGGAGGAAGGGACGGCAGGGGACGAGTTTGACGTTTATGGATGACTTTGTGGATGATTTGTTGACCAAGACGAGGGTGTGTGCGACGAGTTTTCGGGAGTTGCCTAAGAGGGTTGACCTGGTGGATTTGGGCGAGCTTGAGGAGAGGATCAGTCCTTTGGGTGATATTGACGAGCTTCTGGATGATGAGGAAGAGAATGAGGAAGAGAATGCGGGAGCAAATGGCGCGGACGAGTCGGAAGGAGAGGTGGTGGAGGATAGGAGCGGTGCTGGGGAGCCAATGGACGTGGAAAGATCGAGGTCTAGGAGCAGAGATCGGTCTCCTTGAGTGTATGGCGATAGCAAAAGATGATACCCAATCTCTTGCTCCTACCGAGCAGAGTATAAAATAGACAAAAGCATGATTTTGGATGCATAGAGCAGGTGGGCTTTGGTGCTTGAGGAATCTCCAGCTTGCATATCATACAAAAATAACAAAGCATCTAAAGGTCCAAAAGGCAAAAGAGTTCACCCTCCCGGTGCTGAACTGGGGGCTACATCTCTGGCGCTAATGCTGGGAAATTTTGGTGCTTAAACTGGGATTCGAACTCGGGTATGCGCTGAGCCTGTCGTCGAGTAGGCTGGTTGGCGTGAATAATTGGTGACCATTTACCATTCCACCACCACGCCACAGTTTGACCTGACCCTCGACCTAGAGGGCGCCTGCTGTGCTGGTGACGAGAATGGAATTGACCTGACCTATAGAGGCTTCTCTCGTGGCGTCGAGGATCAGATGAAAGGGTGGGTGGATTGGTCCCCCAGGGTATATTCCATTGTATTTCACTGTACAGTACATTTTCCAGGACGCGGCTTCTCACACGGCGACGTAAACTCTTACAAGGTCTTCTAGCAGATGACTTACGACGATCAAGCAGACAGTTGATGAAGGAGGTTCTTGGCCACGCCGAGCAACCGCCTGTCATCCCAGTACTGACCGATCAGCTGGAGACCCGCCACATTCCGGCTACCGTCCGCCTCTTCATCCCCTGCCTTGATCTTAGTAGGAATACTGATGGCCGGCAGCCCAGCCAGACTGGCCGGCACCGTAAAAACATCATTCATGTACACCTGCACCGGCGTCTGCCGCTTGATATCCTCAATGCGCGGTGCAAACGTCGGCGCAGTAGGACAGAGCAGGAAGTCCACCTGCGACGGGCCAAACTTATCCTCAAGTTCAACCTCGTCCTTCATGTCGCTCAAGTCGAACTGCTGTTCGTCGTAGAGGGGGTTCTCCAGCCTGAAGACGCGGTCAAAGTCTCGCTGGACAAGCTTGCGCACCCGCTGCGCTTGGATAAAGTAGTTGTCCATTGCCTCGGAGCTCAAGCTGTAGGCGCCGAGGAGGATGCGGCGTTTGACTTCCTCGCCGAAGCCGAGGCCGCGAGTCTTGGAGTAGAGGACCTCGCCTGCGCCGTCACTCTCATCGCCACGGGTACCGTAGCGGACGCCGTCGTACTTGGCGAGGTTGGAAGATGCTTCTGCTGGCGCGATGACGTAGTATGCTGATAAAGCATGCTTTGTGGACGGCAATGATACTGGAACCACCTCTATGCCTGATTTTTGTAAAAGGTCTGCTGCGTCAGACCAGGCCGTCTTGATCTTGGGGTCCAATTCCTCGATGTTGTATTCCAAGGGTATGCCGATTCTGAGCTGCGACCGGCCAGCTGCCGCTTGGGCCAGCTGCTTCTTTCGGAAGCTTTTCGATAAGGATGTCGGGTCTTGGAAATCGTGTTCCCCATCTAGCCCCGTGCTGAACATCAGATCCTCGATAACGTCAACCTCCCTAGCAAGCAGGCCAACAGTGTCCAAGGAGTTCGCATATGGAACGACCCCGAACCTTGACAGCATGCCGTAGGAAGGTTTGTATCCCACGACACCACAGTACGCCGCAGGAAGGCGAATTGACCCGCCCGTATCCGTCCCCAGCGCAACGTCCGCCCCGCCAGTCTGAACCGCGACCGCGCTGCCCCCTGAGCTTCCGCCAGCAGAGGTGGGCGTCGCAGACAGCGGGTTAATGACAGGGCCGTGAATCGAGTTCAGCGAATGGGATCCCATGCCGAATTCATCCATGTTTGTCTTTCCGACGACGTGGGCGCCTCGTTCTCGTAGCTGGCGCACGATGGTGGCCTCGTAGGGGCTTTTATGGGAGGAGAGGATGGCGGAGGAGCATGTTGTCGGGAGCCCTTGGGTCGCGATATTGTCCTTTACCGCTAGCTTGAACTTGGTCGCCGATTCGAGGGTTGCTTCAGGTGCAGCTGTCGTTGCTTCGTAGGCATCTGCGTCTTTCTGTTAGCTGTGGCGCAATCGGGTTGGGATGTGCGAGCTGTCTCGTACCTAGCTGCACGAAGTGATTGAAGTCATGGTGTGAGCGTCTCTGCTGTCGTGTAGCTTGCGCGCTGCATCTTGATCTCAGTGGCCGCAGATTTAACAGCGAGAGCTTAACGTGAGAAGACATGTGGCTGCAATGGCTAACCTGTGACCTTGTTTCATGGAGCTCGTGGACTTTTTGGAGAGCATCTCGTCTCGGTGAACGTTGGGGTCAACTCACCGAGGGCCGATGCATGACTAAGCTCGATTGGGGTGGGGTTCAAGGTCCGAACCCACGTCCGACGACCCTATTACGCTAAACGGAGTCCAGACTTCTATCTCATTTTCCACACGGCAGCTATTTGTCCAAAGCAGTGCCATGTTTTTTTTTTCGTTCTCTTTTCAAGGCGTCGCTTCACATTAACGCTTCTTGCAGGCTTTCTTGATAAACGTGGTTGAGGGCTCGTTGAGAACTAAACTTGGTCATAAGTTACTTCATAAACAAAGAACGGTTTCTCAGGAATTATGTTCATTGCCATGCTACGTGAACCATGAGAAGCCGGCTGGTTGCGAATAAAGATCACGCTATGGACTTGGCCAGACTATGCGGCTGGTATCATCTTTGCTCCAGTATCCCGTACCCCTCTCTTCCCATATCTGTGATCTCTGATCGAAGGACTCTTCCATCTCCTCGAAATCTTCGGGGGAAGGCTCATAGTCTTCATCTCTTATGGTCGCGAAGATCTTTAGTAAATCTTTCTGTTGAATGTGAGCCCAGTCCCAAAATACATAGGCACGCCATCGCAACCAGGCGTGCTCGCCAAGCATGATCCATCCGGCTGACGGAACGCATGTGTGGGCGGCATACCAAGCTGCGTAAGGGCCCTTATTTGTATCCCAGTTATCCTCGCGGATAGGAATCATCATGGCAAGCTCAGTCGTGTTCATTTCTTCCAATGTAGCATCGGAAAATTCTTCAATTACATCCCCCATCGCCTTGGGGAGTTCGATTAAGCAGGTGTCGTCCTCAAAGGTCGATTGTAGTAACGCCCGCTTACTTTCGTAAGATTATCTTGGCCATCTAACTTCGCGTCGGAAGGGCTAAAGAGGTTATAGAACAGGTCGACGCGATAGAACGCGCGACAGAAGCGGGCGTGCTCGGATGCTGATAGAACGACCGCAGTCGATGATGTGTTGTCACTAAATAGGAATAGCATCAGCACTCTGTAATCAGCTCATCACGTGCGTTATCACGTGATTCTCTCATTTGTTCCTATCCCATCGAGTGCGGATTAACGTCAAAAACGCCAAGGCCGGAACTACCCACTACCGTGCCCACTAGTACTCCGCACTTCAATGAGTACATGACGAAACATCATTTAAACCTTTGTTTTCTTCCTTACTGTCACCACTAAAATTATCATTTTGTTTAATGCCGCGATGTCTTCTAGCGATTCCTATGCCTCCGGGGCTTCCGGGGCTTCCGGGGCTTCCGTACGGAGCTATATTATGGTTGAGCTCCTTCCTGAAGACCTCGCCGTCGCTTGCACTGCCGATTGTACGCCGGAGCGGTACGATAACAGTACAGTCCGGCCCCACGAACCCCCGGCCGTTGAACGCGGGCGGCCGGGCACCTTCAGACCCTTTGACGTACCGGCCCGGGGTGTTACGAGCAGGACAAGGCAACCAACTGTGGCACAAAGCAAAAGCTTCGATAATGATGACTCCGGCATCATTGTCCCTTGTTCTGCATTATATAGCTACGCGCCCACAGTGACAAGTTGCGGCGGGCGTAACATGCCGATCAGTTTCCTCTTTTTTCTACCCAACCTAATATTCCTTAAGAGAGGTAAGTAACCCGTCTATGCCCCCCTATTTACTTATATACGATTATATTCCGTCATACTATACTGTTATATTATATGTTACGCCCGCCGCAACTTGTCACTGTGGGCGCGTAGCTATATAATGCAGAACAAGGGACAATGATGCCGGAGTCATCATTATCGAAGCTTTTGCTTTGTGCCACAGTTGGTTGCCTTGTCCTGCTCGTAACACAGAAATCTAAGTCGAGAATATACTTAACTAGCTTCCCCTCTTTAAGCGTAATTAAGTTCTATAATTTAAATAACTAACGTGGTTCATCAGTCAGCCGGCCGGACCAGTCAGCCGGACGTTTTTTTCTAAACACACTTATGTCCAAACCACTTAAACCTTTGACGTGTAAAATCTCAACAACCATAATGCCAATCTACACCCAAGAAGACAAAGTCATTCTTGCGATTGAAGCGATCCGATCGATACGCGCTGTAGGTAGTAACTTGAGCATTTCGCGTGCCGCAAAGACCTACGGTATCCCGAAGAGCACCTTAGCCGATAGAATAAATAACCGACCGCGACGCGAACAAACTCAACCCCAACGATATAAACTCGATCCGATCGAAGAGAAAACACTCCTCTAATACGTTATTGAACAGGATTCTAGAGGATTTCCTTTGCGCCTTGGCGGTGTGGAAAATATGGCCAATCTCCTGCTGCGAGTGCGTAATGCCGAGCCTGTTGGCAAGCGATAAGCCAGGCGGTTTGTGGACTCACAGCCTGCTCTGAAAACCAAGTTGAATCGTCCATACGATTATCAAAGGGCTCTTCAAGAAGACCCAGAGGTTATTTCAAAGTGGTTTGTGTTGTTACGCAACATGATGACCAAGTATGGAATCCAAGAGGAGGACCTATATAATTTCGACGAGACTGGCTTCATGATGGGCATGATCACCGCGTTAATAGTAGTAATACGCGCCGATCGACGCGGCAAAGCAAAGTCTGTCCAGCCGGGTAACCGTGAATGTGCTACAGTCATTGAATGTATCAATTCGGGCGGGTGGTGCATCCCTCCGTTCGTGATCGTCAAGGGCGTACATCACCTTGCCGGTTGGACCACGGAATCAGGTTTTCCGGGCAACTGGGTCATCAAGCCCACTGCTAATGGATGGACGGATAATCAGACGGGTCTTGACTGGATTAAACACTTCGACAAACATACTAAGAACCGAACTAAGGGCGTCTACCGGATGCTCATTATCGACGGCCATGAGAGCCATTTATCGGCCGAATTCGACGATTACTGCAAGCAGAACAATATTGTAACGGTCAGTATGCCTGCAAATTCGTCGCATCTATTACAGCCATTAGACATTGCGCTTTACTCGCCTTTAAAACGCGCATACGGTGATAAAATCAACCTATTTATTAGAGCCTCCATAAATCACATTACCAAGTCTGAGTTCTTTATTGCCTTCCACCAGGCCCATAACAAGGTTTTTAATGAGGAAAACATCAGGTCTGCTTTCCAAGGCGCTGGAATTTCACCTTGGGACCCAGACTATGTTATCAAAAAGCTTGATGTGCATTTACGGACGCCTACACCTCCTATGGCCAACCCTTCAACACCACCACCTTGGCAGTCGCAAACGCCCTCTAACCTATAATAAGCCGTCTCAAAGTCTAACTTTATCAAAAGCCGGATCTCTGCTCATAAAGGAAGCTCACCGACACCAATTATTGCTGTAGTTGAGCAATTGTCAAAGGGTGCGTAGGCAATGGCGCACTCAATCACTATTTTGACTGATCGGCTTCGTACCCTTGAGGATGCGAATGTAGCACTTGCTAAGCATCGGAGGGCTAAAAGGTCGCGTGTGCAGCTTGGAGGGGCACTTAGTATAGAGGAATCTCAGGGTTTGCTGGAAGAGAAACAAAAAGGTAAACGTCCAGCACCTCGAGAGGATGAGGAGGGGGGTCCATCAAAGAGAGCCCAGCCGACTCGGAGACGCTGTGGTGCGTGTGGTAAGACTGGGTATAATGCACGAACCTGTTCCAAAGATGTCAAATCATCAGGAGATTCTGATAGCGATAACCAATAATTGATTTAATGCGTTGTGGTTGAGAAATACTAGATGTTGTTGTGGACGTGGGAAAAAACGTCCGGCTGACTGGTCCGGCCGGCTGACTGATGAACCACGTTAGTTATATTTAAGATTCTTTATTACTTAGCGCCATAGTTTATTATAGAAGAAAAGTCATCGATTGCGTTGTTATGCTGTAGCTGTAATTGGTTGCGACACTCGCTTGTCTGCGACACTCGCTTATCAAGCACGTTACGTGAAATGTACATGTGTTGCTGTAGGTAAGTGATAGAAAGGCAACAGCCAAAAGACTGACCAAAGTGGGAATGCGCTTGTCCTCGGAGACTTCTAACTGCTTTTCGGATTTTTGTATAGGACGCTAAGTCTGAGGCAAACCTGCACGGTTGAAATTTGAAAGACCCGCATCTTATTCTCAGGGGAAACGTCCACCCTGCCTTGATCGCGGATATTTCCCGCCTCACACGGGCGAAACCCACATCGTCCAGGCATGTAGGATAGGTTGAGAGCGGACCGTAGACGGCCCTTGAACTGTAAAATACGGGAATCTCAGTGCCGACCGATGACGAAAAGCTCGGCCTCCCAAGGTTCGGGCCACGCATCCCACGGCGATATCGCCGGTATACCGCGTTCGCAGTCCGCAGTCCGCAACTCGAAGGCCCTGCGTTCTAGAGGTGGGTTGTATGCGGGCTGGTTTTCATCGAAACAAGTGGAACTGGTGATAAAACGGCCCATGGTGTCCTGTGCTGCTACCCCCGCTACATGAATCAGATAACGTCGATGTCACGGATCAATCTGTGGCGAACCCGGCAGCTACTACTCCGTATGGAGTTCATGGTAAGCGCTTGGTGGGCCTGGCTGCGTGGCATCGCTCCCGCCGGCCTACAGGCCCAGGGAAGATTCATTTCCGGGGCCCATGAACTTCCCGCTTCAATGATACCCTTTCTGAAGTGTTGCGGTACGACGACGGACTGCACAACTCTAAAGTCCGGCTCACGATAGTATCGCAGATCGCCAAGCTTGGCAGATACCCGAGATATAAGAGCTTCGATTGCCCTTCACAACTTCAGTCTGGTCATCAATATCAGCAGCATCAAACAAACTAGATTCTTTCGAACACTTACAACAAACTGTTAGTTCGCTCCGTATCAACACCATGGCGGTCCAAGAGGAAAAGCGACAGGTCATCATTGTCGGCGGTGGCATCACGGGCCTGGCATTGGCGTTGATGCTAAAAAACCTCGGAGTCGACTATGTGCTCCTCGAGGCCTACGGCACAGTAACACCCAACGTCGGAGCTAGCATCGGCCTGTTCCCTAACGGCCTCCGAATTCTCGATCAACTCGGATGCTACGATGACATGCCAGAGGCCAGCCCGTCGAAGAGCAGATTGTCAGAAACAGCACAACAGGCAAGCGCATCATGACCCGCAAGTCAAGAAGCCTCCTCACCAAACGACACGGCTACCCCAGTATCTTCATGGAGCGTTTCCAGCTTTTGAACGTGTTGTACGAGCACTTGAAGGACAAGAACAGGATCTTCCTCAACCAGAAAGTCCAGAGAGTAGAGAATCTCAAAGACAGCGCCCTGGTCTACACCAAAGACGGCTCCGTCTTTGAGGGACAAATGGTGGTCGGCACAGACGGCGTACGCAGCACAATCAGACAGGAAATGTGGAGGAACGCAGACGCCAACGACGACTCCAGCGCCATTCCGGTCCGCGACAGACAAAACATCCCCTGCGAGCACGCCTGCATTTTCGGCACCGCCAAGCCCATGGCCGGCGTTGCCCCCAGCCAAGTAGTCGGCGCCAGCGGAAAGGGCACCGTGGCCGGCTGCATGGGCGGCCCCGGCGGTGAGGTCTTTGTCTTTTGGTTCTGGACGCTGCCCGAGGGCCAGCGCTCGTACCCGATCGACGAGATCCCGCGCTTCACGGACGAGGACAAGCAGCGCGAGTTCGACCGCAGCGTCGACGCCCTCGTTGCGGACAACGGTCTGCGGTTCCGCGAGGTGGTGGAGAACCTCGAGTACAGCGGCGTCACGGCCCTTCCGCACTTTGTGATGAGGCGGTGGCACTACGGGCGCATCGTCATCCTCGGCGACGCGGCGCACAAGTTCAACCCGCTTGTCGGCCAGGGCGGCAACAGCTGCATCGAGTCCTGCGCCTCGCTGGTCAACGCCCTCCAGGAACAAAAGATTATCGGCAAGGGTGCTTCTGCTGCGGCAACGTGGAAGCTGCCCACCCTTTCAAAGGCGTTCGTCGCCGTTGAGGAGCAGCGTGTGGAGATGCTGGCGTTCATGGTCGAGCAGTGCCAGGAGGCCATGCGTATGTCGGCCTGGGATACCTGGAAGGGCCGCCTGGTGCACCAGTACATTGCGTCCCTCATGCCGCTTGCCAAGTGGCTCGACTTTTACAGCGACCAGATTGCCGGTGGCCTGAGTTTGAAGGGCGTGAAGCCGCCTTCTTCGGGCCACGAGTGGCCCTATAGCGAGGAGAAGACCGTGGAGGAGAAGGCTATGACTCTGAGCAAGGCGAGCGTCATCGCTACGATCCCTGTCGCCGCCTTGACTGCTTTCATGGTCGCGCGGGTTCTTCGCCAAGAGAACAGTGCTGGTGGATCGATGCTGCTCTCGCGGGTGATGGAGAAGATTTCAAGTTTCCGGTGATGAAAGCAAGAAAGACGCGGGGGACTGAACTTAGGGTGCTACATGGCGCAGAACCTTTACTAGACGGCATGTTTTTCTTTTATCACAACATTATCTACTTCTTATCCATCTCTTCTTTCGGTTGTCTGCTGTAGAATTAGATAATAAACCACACGTCAGCATTGAATAGAAAGCTATTTCCTTAGAGTGTGTCGTGCCAGTCTAGGCCGGTGCTTTCAAGATCAACTTCATCAGCAATGGGAGGACAACCATGAGTATTGTTCACCCACTGCAACATGATATTACCCCATCGGCTTTGCCCATTTCATGGGAGGCACATGATGTGAAAAAAAATTGATGGCCCGGTCACCCAGGTCCCCGTTGCCCGATTAGGCGCCGCCATAACCTACTTACATACCGCAACGGTTCGAGGCGTTGATATCATCTGCAACACTGCACTTACGCCTCCCGACATCAATTAAAAGTATCGAAAAGGTCAAAAAGGTGAGCCAGTATATAAGCACACTCCTGGACGCAGACTACGCAAAAGATGCTGCAAAAAACACTGGAGAATCCTCGAGCAATACCGCGTCTACCTCAGATGTTGCATCGTCGATGAAGTCTTGTCGTCCATAAGAATCCATCTCCAACTTTCATTAGAGTAAGCAAAGCATCCTGATCTCCTAAAAACTTCAAACGTTGAAACCCAACATACTGGTAAAAAGCAGGATAGTGGCACCGCCCTCCGAGTCACCAAGCAGAGGAAAATCCGTGAAGCACGGAGAACGAGAACACCACAATGCGCCTCACCCTAGCCCTCATTCTAACCCTGCTCCTCACAACCTGCACCGCCGACTACATCGTAGTCAATACCCGCTGCCATTCCTGGGACCCCAAATCCTGCGAACGCGTCGACAGCTTCTTCCACTTCAACGGCGGCCGGCAATCCGTCAACGGCAACCACGGCTGCCGCAACTCGCACAGCCGAAAGCTCTTGATATCGCAGTGCCTCAACTACGAGACGAAGCGCGGGCACTTTCTTTTCATGCACCAGGACATACGGTGCCTACGGCTCCTGCCCAAAATCACGCTCCATAGGTGCGGGCACGGCTGGTTTCGGTGCTGGAGCGGGATGTGGGCTGAGACGCCGTGTTTGAAGGAGCGGGAGGAGGTGCCGATGGAGGATATTGAGACATGATGGAGGAGTTCTGCACCCGTTATATCATCGCTGGGTTTCTTCTATTGAGTGTTTCTAGGTAGTGGTGTTACGTCACGGATTGGATGCTTGGGCTAGCCCTTCCACGGTGGGAGTGTGCGTCGGAATGAGTGAGATAGGATATCTGGTTGGAAGGGATCTTGGCTCCAATGAGCAGACGTTGTAGGAGCTTTGCCGGGACCGAGATGTCCCATCGGACGTAATCAAGGCCTCAAACAACATCTATAAGTAGCTGAATGTTGATCAGCGACTGGATTCGACCTCCCGTTGTGTATTCCTCGCTGAAATAAGCTGAACGATGCTCCACTATTTCATCTGAAGGTTTTCTCGAGGTCTCAAAGACTCCCTAGGCATGGGGCGAGAGTTACTTAGGCCCAAAAATATTTTATCCATTCATAAAAGGTCGGGGGAAGGTGGTCGAGGGGTATGATGGGGGAGTCTAAGTACTAACCAGAAAGTCCTCGAGCCTCTGGCAACCTGACCTTTTGTTCGATTTCCCGTCGAGGAGCTTTTTCTTTTTCGTCGTCCTTTAAGAAACCTCCACCTGGTGCTCAGGATTTATGAATGGTCAACAGGTTGTTTTATCCACAGGTGTCACACAAACGTCAACGGGCAGATCAAGATAGGAACGAGATATAGATATCTATGTACCTCTTGAATACAAGAGGCCTTGAGTGTAACCAACGCGAATCCGCGATGTGGGTATAAGCGAGTTATAGAAGACTTGACTGTCATGTAAGGTGCGGTTGTGGCCGTTATCGTGATATCCAAGGGAGAGTCAGAGTAGGTATCATTGGTAAGATCATAACTTCGGGTCTCCCGATGAAGACTTCTCTTCTTTCTCTGTAGTCGCCGGAGCTACTTGTGTCGTGGAAGCGGAAGCCAACTCGGCCTTGGCACTCGAGGTCTCCTTGTCCACACTACAAGCAGGCGCAGACGTCTCCTCATATCGCGACACGCCACTAAGCAAATCAGCGCTCTTCGGGTCCTCGTGCTTCATCTCAGCGACAGGCGCATTAGAGTCGAAAATGATCGCAACCTCGTCGAGCGGGGTGGCGGCCCCCTGCGCCGCGAGCTGAATCTTCTTCTTGGCCGCAATCCGGAAGTCCTTTGCGTCCTGCGGTGCGCCTTCAGATCCGTTGATGAACCTCCCCTCGCGGCCGCGATCGTCTTTGATGTCCGTGCCAATCTCCCCGCCTTGGCCCTGGATTGCCTTGGACATTCTCTGGACGACGCCCTCGGGAATGCTCTTTTGCGCGTCCTCGGTGTCGCTCCCGCCGTCTTGCCGTAGAGGGAAGCCGACTTCTTCCTCCTCCTTGGCAGATTTCGCGGCGGGTTCTTCCTCTTCTTCTTCCTCTTCCTTGTCGTCGAGCTTGAGTGCCGTGTCAACGCCTTCAGTGACCCTCCGGATCTCCTCCTCCAAATCCTCCTCTCCTTCGCCAGCAGCCGATGCAAGCTGTCTCTCAGCCTCCTTTTCGCCCACAATGCCGCGCCAGAGAGCCTCCAGCTCATCGCCCCAACCAAGCAGGGTAGCAAGCTTACGAACCCCGGCATCACACGTTCCCAATTCGACAACATCATCCGCCCTGCGACCCATCTGTCCCACACGCTCCCTGTTGAGCAACAGCCGCGGCACGCCAGACCGCGAGGCCTCGGCTAGGCCAGCAAAGGGGTAGACCGACAAACTCGTACCCATTACAATAATGATATCAGCCATGGCGGGCAGATGGGTATTGTCACGGAACATCTCCGGCAGCGCCTCTCCGAAAAAGACGATATCCGGCTTCACGAGCCCGCCGCAGGAATCGCACTTGGGCACATGCTCGTCCTGGACGTGCTTTTCCATCCGGTCGGCGGGGAATGTGTCCTTGCACTCGATGCAGCGCTGGGTGGCGAAGCTCCCGTGCGCCTCGATGATCTTGTCGTCCGGTACGCCGGCGCGCCTTTCGAGGCAGTCGATGTTTTGTGTAAAGTTCATCTGCAAGAGACCCTTTTTCGCGAGCAGGGCGATGAAAGCGTGGGAGACCGTGGGGTGGAATTTCCCCGGATAGAGCTCTTTGGCAAGGTAGTAGAAGGGCTCGGGGTGCTTGCGGAAGTAGGAGATGTCGAAGACGGCTTCGGCGTAGGGGAGGTTGAGACGGGCTAAGTTGGCGTATAGGCCGGTGCCGGGGGATCTGAAGTCGGGAACTAGAGGGGAGTTTGTTAGAATCCTCACAGCATTCCATAGTAATCTGGATATTCAAATAACGTCAAAGGGGGAGTGCATACTGCCAGCGGCTGTGGATATGCCGGCGCCGGTCATGACGGCAATCTTCTTGACATCGCCGGATCTGATGTAGTCGGCAATGGCATCAAGCGAGCGCGACTCGAGCGTCTTGGGCTGGACGCTCTCGTCCAGCATCGTCGACTCCTCGTTACCCATCTTCTTGCGCGGCTGGTTGGAGTTGGGCCGGCCCTTGGGGTGTTTGTCGCGGCGTCGGCGGCCTATGATGGGCAGATTGGCGGGGTTGGTGGGCGGAGATAGCGGGGAGAAAAGTCTGGTGATGTTGTGGTGCAGGTTGATGTAAAAGAGAGAACGGTTTACGACAGCTTGAGAGATATGTGTCGCGTTACCAAAGAAGCTCTGTGAGAATGTCTCGGTCAAAGTGCGAGGGTAGCCTAGAGAGTGACGCAAAGCAGGTGATATGTGAGGTGTGGTTGGATGGTCAGAGGCAGCTGTTTGCCTCGCCGGCGACTCGCAAAAAAGTCGTTGGCTCGCTTCGCCGTTACATCATGCGGTGACCCCACCCCCGCCATCCCTCAGCGTCGTGCTCGGGCGTTTGGAGCTCTTATCGTTATCGGATGAGCCCTACAGCAGTGGCGGGCGGCGCGGGTCAAGGCCGGGAATAGGGGCAGGTAACCTGGAATGGTCAGCAAATGTTCATTGGGTGTTGGTTTTCGTCTATCAATGACCTAGAATCTTGCCATCTTCGGGTGAGTCATGCCAATGAAATGAGTGAGTTTGGCAGTCACGGGAATCTACAGTATTCTAGCTCTGGATCAGTCTTACTCGAGTAGCTCTGCAACATGGAGGACACTGAAGATATCAACTTCGGTTCCTTCCTTCCTTCAAAAGGGGTAATTCTCAATGAGAGCAAAGATCCCTAGCCATTGTGACTTTGATTTTTGGATTTTTTATACGCATTGAGGGGACTCATATGTAGTTTGTACACCTCTATATCCTGGTCGGTATGTATGTCTTCCTTAAATCGACGTCTATCCTTCCCAGATACCAACATGATCCATATCTAGCGGATCTTGTCTCTAGGCAGACGATAGGTAAACGCAATCGCAGTACCACCAATAGCCATGACAGTCGCCGCCATGTACGGCAGACCAAGCCAGATGCCGCCTGCTGAGTTGCCGGCTTTCAACAAGCCCGATATTACCGGCGCCGAAACGAGCAAGCTCACCTGCTCTACCCAGGTGATGGCTGTGTTCAGTGTGCCAACTGTGTGCGGCTCAACGACGGCGTTGAGAATTGCTCGGCAGATATTTGTGTAAACGGTGCCCATTGAGAAGATGATGAGGGCTATGTCAAAGGTCAGCAATCTGGGTTTATGAGGACTGGGCCCAGCCCGATGCAGATGGTTGGTTGATAGAACCAGGGTAAGCATACCGGTAATTAAGAACCATGGCGCGAATGCAATGGCGACCATGAAGCACCCGATAGCCAGGAGGATGCCGCTCATTCGGGTGAGCCACAGGTCCCGGACCAGAGGATGGACGCCCGTACGCTTGGTGATCAGCCAGCTCAGCGCCGGAAGAATGGCGAGTAGCATGACCATGTTCGTGGCCGTTGAGACGGTCCCAAGGAGTGTTGCCTACGTAGTAAAAAGGAATGATCAGCCACGGGACCATGAAGTATGTGTGAGACTGAGACGGCGCGATAGCTACTCACCTTTGCCCAAGACCATCCCAATAAGTTATGCACGTATTGCGACATGATATCTATCTTGACATACTTTACAATAACTGTAAGGTTAAACCCGAGCACGAGGGAAATCACGCTCTTGGATTTTATCAAAAAGGTGTAGACATGACCCATGTCGTTCTTCACGGCGAAGACTATCTGCTGCTGAAGTGTGCGCTTGTCTCTTGCATCCTCTTCGGATCGCGAGGGTGTCTGCTCAACCTCCTGATCGGCAGCGCGGCGGAGGTCCAACGTCTCTGGGATGAAGGGTGGCAAGCAAGTGCCGATGATCAAGAGGACCATGCCAACGCTGAGAGGCAGCCAAGGGTTCTTGCTCAAGAGGTAGGCGCTCAGGGGCGCAACTACAAGTTCTCCCGCGAGCGCGATTGCGCCAATCTTGTAGCAAACCGCGGTCCTATCAGATATGAGCTTTCGGGTGACCGGTATTGGCAGTGAACAAATCTTACAGGCTGGAAATGGGGACAACGTCAGAGATCATGGTCCAAGTCATGGCTTGAATCATGCCTGCGCCTCCACCTATGAATTGGAAGACAGCTCCGAACCACATAGTCCAGAGAGGGAGAACGTTGGGCCACAGTACTGTCGTCAATTAGCAAGTTTCATTGGTAGGGAAAGCGTCTTCAAGTCCTACAGGGAAGCAACATCCAGGCAAGCTCCAATGTGATACCCAGCATGGCCAGGGACAGGACTGGGCGGCGGCCATACTTGTCTGCAATGATTCCGTAGGGAATCGCAGTAAGTAATGCTGCAAATGAAAAATTAGCCGGGTTTGATAGTCAGGTTTAGAGAGCGAGACGCACACGGGACGCAGTCGAATGAGTTTTGCCAGCCTTTGATCATGGCTAGCTCGCCCTGCACATCCGAGCCCTTGCAAACATCATCATCCTCTGCCGAGATGATGTGGTCCGGGTAGTGTTTGCGACAGATGATTTCTTCCATGAGCTGGTATGAAGGCGGGATCTGGAGATAGGCGCCAACTTCGACGATAAGAATAAAGGTCATTGCCAGACCAATGACCTTGAGCTGATATCTCCTGCTCGGGTCGACTGTAAGTGGCAAGTCGTGTGGCAACAACGGTGTCTCTTCTTCAGGCCTGCTTTCGATGTCGCCGTTGCGATCGTCAACCGCTTTCGTTGGCGCCATCTTGTAATGTGTCGTTCGTGACGACTAAAGGAGTGGCTAGAATAGAGAAAGAAGCGGACAAAAAGAAGAAGCCGGATGTCTCAAACAAGTTTGAAGAAGTATAAGTCTGCTCTGAAGACAGAGCCTCAGATACCACCGGGTGTGGTGCCAAGTGTGGTGTAATAGCACCAATCCTCCCGGAGAGGAAGGTCGATGAAAGGTATGCGAGTGTCGCGTCGCTAACCAGTCGCCGGCCCTCAACTGTAATACGGAGGAATCGGACCCTGGTCGTGGACCGCCCAAGCTGGCCAGTCCCTGTAGGCACGCTGAGCCAGCGACAAATACGAGTCAGACTGCCAGTTGGCCGCCGCGGAGAACGCTTTCCACAACTGATAGACATGACACGAATGAGCCCTGCGATAGCGCGTTATCGCCCCCCGTTACAAACTTTTGCAAGGGCCTCGTGCGTCTTACATTCATCGGCGCAATAGAAGCCCGAAGAAGCAAGTTTGTTCGTTGACCATGACAACGGCCATTTTCCTGCTGGACTGAACTCGACTTCGCGTTTATCCTCTCCTCTCCATGTCGGGCGGGTCCCCCAGAAGTTCTTGCATGATTGCTCCTCGACGATCTGTGGGAGGTTCGTCCAAACGTTCAGAACCATCAATCTCCCACTTCGACCCGGCGGGTACTTTTCGAACAGGGGTCCCTTGGACATCTCCAGAATTGGGACGGTGGTCAAAAAGCTTGTTGAAGACTGACGTGGTGACGCGTCCAGGAACGTTGAAATAGGATGCTACCCTGCGAGGCTAAGATAGCGTTCTCGGACCGAGGCCGCTCTCGTTCAGTTCGTATCGCAAGAAAAAACGTCTCAGAGAGTAGAAGAGATGTCACTGATTTCTCTACTGGACGCTTCGGGATCCTGGCTGCGCAAGTGGGTAGTACGTGGTCGACATTCTGGCTGCATGCATTGTCTGCGACAGTCATGAGGCGATCATGCGGGTATTGCCCAAGCGAAGTCCAAGGTAGCGATGGTATCCGACAACAATTGCCGTCTGACTTTGATATCGGTGGCTTCTGCCTTCCTCAGATGTTCAGGTGGAAAATGTCCTGTAGGCAGGAGCTGCATGATGACTAAGGGAGGTCACTACCGCGGGGTCGCAAGCACCAGCCAGTCCGGGGCAGTGACAGAAGCTACCCCGCCATCCAACTGTAGCTCCAACGCCTTTCCTCCAACTCCCAGACAAGCATCACCACAATGTCTGCCAAAGTGACCGCCACCAGCCCTCTGGTAAGCATAACTTACTTTAAGCAGTTCCAGTCTACAATCCACACCTAGCTGACCCGTAAAATCGCAGGGCGAGGGCGAAGCGCGCTGGATCAAGCTCATCAAAATCAACTACGACGACCAGAACGGCAACGCCCGCACCTGGGAATCTGCCGAGCGCCGCACCCGCCCCAAGAACGGTGAGATTGATGGCGTCGGCATCGTCGCTATCCTCGAGAAGCCCACCGGACCCGAGATCATCCTGCAGAAGCAGTACCGTCCGCCCATTGACAAGGTCTGCATTGAAGTCCCCGCGGGACTCGTCGACGAAGGCGAGACGGCCGAGCAAGCTGCCGTGCGCGAGCTCAAGGAGGAGACGGGATACGTTGGCAAGGTGTCTGAGACCACGCCGATCATGTTCAATGGTATGTTGCTCGAGTATACTCCGTATGAGCCCCGGGATAGCTCAACTAACGTCCATTGCTCCTAGATCCCGGCTTCTGCAACACAAACCTTCGCATGATCCACGTCACCATCGACACCTCCCTCCCCGAGAACCAGAACCCAAAGGCCGAGCTAGAAGAAGGAGAATTCATCGAGGTCTTCACCGTGTCACTGTCCAACTTCTGGGCAGAGTGCGTCCGTCTCGAGAAGGAAGGCTACGCGATCGATGCTCGCGTGGGGACCATTGCCGAAGGCATCGAATTAGCAAAGAAATTCAAGCTTTAATGGTGCTACACGCCTGCCAATGCTTGCCTCCGTCCAAGTTATAACTTGCCCTCGCGCCGGAGACCCTCCCAAAGAGCCACCGCGGCGAGGCACTTTGCATCCCGCGCGCCCTCCCGCCACAGATTCTTCATCGGCACGAGCTTCAACGTGATCTTCTCCCCGTGATCCCTTAATCCAGTCAGCTTGCCGCTCCATTCCTTCAATTGCTCGCGTGGGATCCTCTTCTCGTGGCTATAAAGCGTCACAAACTCGTCGCATCCGCCAGCAGAGGGGTACATTGCCTCTGCCAAGCCCTCTTCGGCTTCGTTTCCTTTTGATCTGCCCGCGCCAGCCAGCTCGCTCAAGCACGTCAGCTTCGATTCGTGAATCTCCAGGCCAAGCTCCTCCTTGATCTCCTTTGCCGCCGCGCCTACGAAACTACCGCTGTCGTCGACCATGCCGGCGGGCAGTTCCACGAATGACAGGCTGCCGACCGGCACGCGGGGCTGCACCGTCAGTACGGCGTAGCGCTCGTCGCTATCGGGCGGCGCGTCGTCGGGGATGAGCATCACCAGCATGCCGACGCTGGGTCCGCGAAGGAAGACGATGGCGGGCAGTCCTTCTCCCGCCTCATTCTTGACGTCGGCTACGACTTTAAGGAAACTGACGCGGCGGGCGCCGAAGATGTCGAAGGCCTGGACTGTGATGCCGCGTAGGCGGTAGGGATCCTGGTGAAATGGGTGACTCTTGCTCTTGGCTTGCAGGCTTAGGGAGTTGCTGAGACCCTTGATCCAATCCTGGCTTGACGGTCAGCTCTGTTTCTGACCCTTGAGAGAATTCTGGGAGTAGCTTCACACGTTGAAGGGTCGGAAACCTAGGAGTTGGTCTTCTGAGAGGCCATTGGGTAGCTTGATTTGGATGCCGCTGTCTTTCAGCGTGACTGTCGACATGGTTCGGATGATGATACTTCGATGCGTGTTGGGAAGGCCTGGCTGAATGAGAGTTGATTGAAAGATATTGAACTTTGGTCTCCTGTTGAGACGATTGAGGGCTTGTCGAGAAACAAGCGCGGCTACTCTCATTTCATTGAGATTGTTTATGGAAGATGCAGTTCTACAACCTTTTAGTGTTGATGTAGACGAGTTGATTGACGTCAGACCAATGAAGCGGATTGGCGGGGCCTCCTTCGGCTTAGTGTTTGACCGGGGTTGCCCAGAGCTTTACCCCTGCACAACCCGGAGGCTCGCGGTTGATCAACAATGGCTATCTTAGGTGAATCAAAGATATCAGAGGCTCATTCTGTCGACCTATAACTAGACTTTGCTACCCCTTCACTTTCGCCCATTGGGTTATCTGTTCTCCTGTTGCTAGAGGATAGAACGTCCCATTCTTCACTCACAGAGAAGGATAACGAAAAGTGTAATACCTCAGCAACCTTCCCCAATGCAGACACCTACTCTTGCATCTAGCCCAGGATGTGCGGATGGTAGTTGAAGCCACAATCCTGAATCATTGCCCCAGGAGCCACATTGTCTAGAAGGGCAGGTGCTGGCTGGCCATTCCTTCCACATAACTGAATATACATAAGAAGCCTATATACCCCCCCTCAGTCCCAATTCTGTCACCAGCAACAGCAGGCGCCCCTCTAGGCCGGGGGGTCAGGACAAACTGGCTGGATGGTGGAATGGTTAAATGGTCGACAATCCCCCTTACAGCCTACTCGATTGGCTTCGAGTTCGAGTCCGCATACGAACCCAGCATGAGCACCATAATAACCGCCAAGAGATGCGGCCACACCGGTGGTGAACTCTTTTTTGGGTTTATGTGGCTATCGTTATAGCGAAGTAGCTCATACGCTTGCTTCCTGGAAGCATTCTTGCAAGCATCGACTGCAGGAAGAGCTCGCAAACGGAGAAATCATGGCCAGAAATCTATTCTCATCAATGCTTTTCCTGTCTGAGTGCTGTACATGGCTACCTAGTATGCAAGTGGAACATCTCCCAAAAACCTATTTCATGCAGTAGTTTCTCCTCAACTCCAACCACCTTTTACACGTTCCCGGCAGTTGTCTCCCTCCCAGCTAATTTATCCTAGGAAGTTCTTCAAGTTTCCACCAATGTTCTTGAGATCCAATAAGAATGTGTCGTGCCCAAAGAAACTCATCTCCTCACTCAGCTCATAGTGCGCGACGTTCCTGTTGCCCGCGAGCTTCAAAGCCTCGGCCACTTCCCTCTGCTGCCAGGCCGGGAAGAGGATGTCACTTGCCACACCAATCACGAGAGCAGGGGTGTCTCTCAGAGGTGCCAGACCTGCGATCAAGTCTTCTGGGGGCCTGGAGGATACTTCGACTGGTTGATCGGCCACACCGGCGTTGGATTCTGGCTGCTCCACGTAGGGCTTCTCGGGCAACGTGAGACTGCATGCCGCATCGTTGCGCGCAGGTGACTCCCCAGACTGAAGGAGATTCTCGCGCTCTGCCCTCCTCGCGTTCGCAGCAACCTGATTCTCCCTGCCGAGATCGAAAAGATCCATCGCTTTGCTGACATAGAGCAAACTGTTAGGATCGTACGTCAGACAGAACTTCTCACCCGCGTGGTCCAGATACGTCTCGATCAAGAAATCGGGACACAGCGCAGGCGGCTTGCTCGGGTCCGCCCTCCGCCTGCCGAACCTTTGCTCCCACTCCGGGCCCGAGCGGTACGTGACGGTCGCGATCTCGCGCGCGAGCTTCATCCCGGCGTGTGGCGGCACCCTGCCATAGTAGAAGCCTCTGTTCCAATTCGGGTCCATCATCAGCACCTGCCGCTGCGTATGGCGCATCGCGATGCTGTAGGGGTGTGATCGGGCGCACCCGCTGATGGAGACGATCCTGCCGACGCGGTCCGGGAAGAGGACGCCTGCGCCGAGGGACTGCATGCCGCCCATGCTCGAGCCGACGCTGGCGTAGAGTTTGTCTACGCCGAGGCCGTCTAGCAGGCGAAACTGCGCGCGCACCATGTCCTCCATGGTCAAGATGGGGAACCGTGTCGCGTATCGTTGTCCGTCTGCTGGGTCGATACTGCTCGGTCCCGTTGAGCCGTAGCAGCCTCCTATTACGTTTGTGCAGATGACATGGTATTTGTCGGTATCCAAGGCCAGTCCAGGTCCGATAAACTTCTCCCACCAACCGGGCTTGGGGTTGCTTTCGGTCGAATGCGCGTGCGAGGACGCCGAGAGGCCAGTGTGCAAAAGAATGACATTGGACTTGTCTGCGTTCATTTTGCCCCAAGATTCGTATGCGATATCGAATTCAGGTAGGACACCACCCCAGTCGAGCAGGAAAGGGTCCTTGCAGTGGTATATTTCTGTCGCGCCGGCGGTATAGGACGGTTCAGGGCCGCTCGATTCGTATCGTGCCTCGAGGCTCGCTGATCGGTTCTCGAGGGAGTCAAGGCATGGAAATGCCATTGCCGGGTTCGACGCATCGCCGGGGCTGTTCGACGCCTTTCGCGCTGGCTTGGAGTGGAATTGGTGGGCGCATTGTCGGTTGCCAAGAGGAGCGGCCGCCGCGACTTGAGAGCTCCGGAAAACGGAGGGAGCTTGGACGCGCGATGCTGGTGTGCGGGCCTGGCGAAAGGCCTGCGAGGCGATTCTTTGGCACTTCATCACGACAAAAACGGACAAAAAAATGGCAATTGGGAACTATGAAGAGTTCGGGACCATCTTTCAGGTCACTTGCGACAGAAATATCAACGCCATCGGTTCTCGGTTTGTAAGCCGGAGCTCCTCCATCGACGACCCATTGTCTTCGGTCAGTGGCTAGCGATGGTGTAATTTCACGTGATGCTAATCGATAAGAGTTGCTTATCGAACCGAGCAAGGGTCCTCTGCAGTGACATTTCGCAATCCCACCATCGGGTCCACCTCCCCACTGACGTCAATTTTAAGCTGCAGGCCTCCGTGCACCGACCCCGAAATGACGGGAACCTTTGAAAGTTGCCAGACACATTGCCTTAGCTGACGTCGCCTCCACACGTACCATAACCATGAGATCCCTACAGTAAACTGCGCCTACACATACTCTTACCCCTCTTCCCACCGTTCCTCTTACAATCGTCCCCAACGTATTCCTCCACGCAAATCCGTACATGTCTTTCTTCTCCCAATTCCAACAATACGCCGGAACCTTCGCAACAGTAGCAGCTGGTGCTATCATCGCTAGAGCCGTCGGCATCATGCAATCAGACAACCAAGACGACCACTCGGGCCCCGCTCCGCAGGAGCCCGGAAACTACAAGCCCTCGCACGTCGATGTCATAGTCGTTCGCGTGATGCTCGAAAAAGCCTTCAACTTCCCTCCCGAGCTCCTGGACCTCATCATCGACCAGGCCGAATACTGGCCGCACTCCGAAGCCAGCATCTATCATGCAGTTACACCTCTACGCGACGCCCTCCGCGTCGTCGGTACCACCAAAGACGAGAACAAGTTCATTCTGCGTTGTCCGCCCATCGGATTCCTCGACTTCAAAAAGGTCGGCCCGGCATTCAAGACGGCTCCGCTCCCGCCAAAGTCGGGCGATGGGTCTCCCGTAACGGAGCCGCTCCGCAACCTGACGCTCCTCGAACCCACGTCGAGCCCCACCGAAATGGTCTCCGAGGCCCCGAGAGAATACTTCACAGGCTCCATGAAGGCGCCGCCCACTTTGACCCACCCGGTGCGGAAGATCGTCTTCAAGTTGCGGAGCAAAGATCAGGGTTGGGGCGGTGGACACGGCGATCGTGGGTCCTACCGAGGATCTTGGTCCTGGTTCGAGGCTGGCTTGGAGAAGTTTGATAAGGAGCGCACCTGTAAGCTGAACTTCTGCTCGTGGAATGAAATAGTTACAAGTACTAACAAAAACAGGCGATGGATCCTGCAAGACGGCAGAAGACGGCTCCAATACCGAGTCCGAACAGGCACCCTTCACCAACGAAACGAAACTCTGCACCTGCGGCCTTCAATCGATATATCCTCCCGTCGAACCTACCGCCGATGGAAAGCTCGCCTACTCGCATGGCCTTCAACCGCTGGAGAATCTCAAGATACAAACCAATAAGACTGCTAACAGGGACTTTATGGACCATGAGGTGGTATGGTCTTGGACCGACGACATTCACCCAGAGTCGCCCGATGCCGACAGACTGGCTGAGATAGGTCGCGGTAAGGGCACCGGGACTGGAAAGTTTGTTCGCAATCTGAAGCTGGGAGACGTGGTCACGGTATGGGGCAAGGCAAGATTTGGTGGCTGGGCCAACTACGTGGAGAGTGTCAAGGTTGAGATCTACTGGGCTGTTTGATTTGTATTGTTCATGATCCGCACCAGTATGTATTTTTCCTACCAGTCATAACGTCTCATGATCACTGTAATGTAATCAACACCGCAGAGCGGTGTTGCCTATCGAAGTTATGAAGGTATACCCCATACACGGCTTGTATATATCAGCTATGCTTTGGCAGACCGCTCTTCAATACCCCTCATCCAGCACAGTGAGGGCTTCGTATCCCGATTCCAAGACCTTGGTGTCCACAATGAAGACAGCAACAAACACCACTCGACTTTCACTGCTGGGGTTTTCTCCCACTGTATGGTGACAGCCGGGCAGCTCCATGAAGCTTTCTCCGACGTCATACAGCTTTGGCGGATTCCCATTCATGCCGCTGAGAAATATCCCCTCAACGATGTTCACCACCACCGTGGCGCCGACGTGTCGGTGGGGAGGGGTGGAACTGTTGGGTGGGTAGGTCACTTCGAGGCCGACTATCGACTTTCCCTCGGCGTTGGCGAGCTTGTAGTCGTATCCCATCGAGTGCCACTTGACCCCATTTTCGCCAAGACCCAGAATACCCACTCTTTACCCTTTTTTTACCCCGCATTTAAAGGGGTACTTAACAGTACGTCATTTATCCCTATGCTCTTTTGCGTATTATCACCACTATTACTACCATTTGGATTGATGCTGCGATGTCTTCTAGTGATTCTGATACCTCTATTGCTTCTGATGCTTCTGATACTTCTGTACGCAGCTGTATAGTAGTTGAGATCCTTCCAGAAGACCTTACTGCTGCTTGTAATACAAGCTGTACGCCAGAGCGCTGTGACGCGGCAACAGTCCGGCCCCACGAACCTCCGGTCACGGCCTAGACGGGCTACAGACAAAAGGAATACCTCTATTCCATGGGAAAACCACAGGAAGGGATCAAGGGGGGCTAATTCACTTTGTTCCTACTGTAGTAATAAGAAAGCATTAAGGGCCCGCCAGACCCTAGGTGAGATATCTGGGAATAACCTCATTAAGAAAAGAAAGAAAACACGGAAGGGCTGCTTAGATTGCAATGTACCGTTGTGTATTGATGGAGAGTGCTGGAACCTCTGGCACACCTAAATTATATAGGAAATTGAGGTACTATGCCCCTAATGGTTAACTGAATAGATTCACAACCCCTTATTGGCTCTACCCCGCCCTTGGCGAAAATGGGGTCAAGTGGCACTCGATGGGATAGGACTTTGACTGTTTCGCGGGGTCGCGCAATACTTGGAAAATGTCAGTATAGAAATAGCCGGGAGGTGCTCCTGTGTATTACCTGAATGCTTGAATCTTTGATTTTAATTCTAAGACGGCTTGAAAACCACGTAACGATGGTTTCTTTTGTTTCTCTTGACGGTAATGCGCGGGTGATAAGCGTTGTAACGATCACAATGATGACAAGTTTCTAGTCATCAGACACAAGGTTTTGGACCCAGAAGATATAGGCTGAGGCTCGTACTTAATGTGCCTACTAAGGCACCTTACCCGTCCCGAAATCGTAGAAGCCCGGCCCGGGTCGCCGCCGTCGAGAAGTGTGGATACCCAAGTGAACGGGAACCCGGGGCGGTACATACTTGCGGATACCCGCAAGCGCCGCGAGCGAATCCCGCCCAAACGGGTTCCCGATAGAAATACCCGCCAAAGTGGAAGGACAAGGCCGGTACAACAACATTTAGTTCCCTATCAAAAGAGAATATGATTTCCGTTATGATATCCCCGTAGCATGAGCGACCCTTTTTTCCTTAAGATACTTTATATTTGTTGGGCAGCGATTATCAGGTAGGGGGTCAATGGGATGTATTGATGAGTATGAAGAACGAGTGGCTATGGGAATATCCCGACTATCTATATAGTGAGTGGAAGACCCCTTATACTGGCATATCCTTGGCAAACTTAGTCATGCTTGTGTAAGACCATATTGTTTCATAGGCATAGTATGACAATCGTTGTAACGAGTGTACTGGGATGGGCCTGACAATATTTATCTTACTCTCCGTCTAGCGACTCAGCCAACAATCACATTTCAGGAAGACCCATGGTCAACAAGATGAAAGCGATCCAAATATTGGGCGACAAGAAGTCACCAAAAATCATTCCAAATACAATAACGCCGAAGCCCACGCCTCAAGGCGCCGAAATACTGGTCCGGGTCCATGCCGCCGGAGTCACTGGCGATGAGCTCGGCTGGCCTGAGCTCTACGAGACCGCATCCCGGATTCCCGGCCATGAGCTATCGGGCACGGTCGATGAACTAGGCCCAGGCTACACCGGAGACCTCGTCATCGGGCAAGAGGTCTTTGCATTCACTTCGGCAGACCGCGGACAATGCCAAGCTGAATATGTCGCTTGCTTGCCAGACGAAGTCGCTTCGAAGCCGGCTGCTATCTCTCATCTTGAAGCCGCAGCTCTTCCGATACCGATTCTTACGGCATGGGAGGCTGCCATGGACCACGGGGAGATTACCGCCGACATGACTGTCCTAGTCGCCGGAGCCTCTGGCGCGGTCGGATTCATCGCGGTTCAGTTGGTTGCTCAGTTTACCGGAGCTCATGTCCTTGCGCTGGCTTCACCGCGACATCACGAAGCCTTGAGGCAGCTAGGCGCTGAGGTCTTGGACTACAATGAATCAGACTGGGCCTCATCAATCGGTGCTGTGGATGTTGTCATCGACATGGTGGGCGGGAGTATCCTGCGCAAGGCCTGGGAGATTGTGGCTGAGGATGGGATTATCATTACTGTTGCTGATCCACCGCCTCCATGGGCTTTCGGAAATGTTGTACCGGAAGAGTCAGTTGGGAGACATGGACTTCGATACAAGTACTTTATTGTATGGCCCAATGCTGAGCGGTTGTGTAGAGCATCTGAGATGATTGAGGCGGGCGCTTTAAAAGCGTTGGTAGTAAAGTCGTTTCCTTTTGCAGAGGCGGTACAAGCCTGGGAGTATTCCCGGCAAAGAGATAAGGGAAGTAAGGTAGTCATTGAGTTTAAATGAATCTACCGGTAAGCAACTAGAGCTCTTGGTAATCCACGCTAAGCTAGAACACAAACCATTTGCCCTTATTCGGGAATGCTTAACGACTTCATTCGCTCCATACACCTCCATATCGGTGCCAACATTCTGGCGGTGTTACGGACTGGCCCTGGCGTAGGCTCCGATTACTTAAGTGTAACTGAGCCAAACTTTAAGTCCGGAACTTGTATTCATGCACCTTTTGACTGATATTGGGCTGTGCCCAGTTGGCAGGTGTGCTGGAAACCACTTTTGCCCGCTTCTACGGCCCAGCCCTTCACAGAGAGTCTGACAGGTGCAGATTACATCCTTTTCTAAAGTTGTGCTCATTTGCTTCTTCGATATAAAGATATTGAGAGGTCACTAATAATGTACTAAATTCCTCTCAATACAGCCAATTGTTTACCCCTTCTACTTAGCTTGTTCAATGACTATTCGTTGAGTAGGCTCCCGCAACTCCATTTCATGAAGTAAGTATGCTCCCGCAATTTGCGGACGCTTTCTTGAGTCTCTAGAAATCTGTAGAGGCGCCTTTGACAGATATATGCAGAGCAGACACTTCTACATTCATCTTGATCAATCTCTATCCCCTCAGATTTCCGATTCTTATTGCCACCAAGGCTGACTACAATGTTCTAGCCTGATGGCTCAATGATCCGTGTGTCTGTTTGATGCTTCAGACATAACTCATGGTGAAAAATAAGGCATATCAAGTGAACTGTTGAGTGCGAGCCTTGGGCCTGATGTGGATATTTGTTTCAGCCTGTATGAGGCCTGAACTTGTTAAATATGGTGTTACCAAAATGAGCTGATACTAAACTGCAGGGGATTTCCATCAGCAGGTAGCATGACGAGTACTAAAGGCCAAATCAGCTCATACGACTACTCTGATAGTCTCTCAAGGGCTAGCAAAATATACGGGATGTGAATCATTCAAGGTCCACACGTGGAAGCGAATTCAGAAAATTTTAAGAAGAAACTACGTAGGATGAAAGCGTACATCACGAAAAGACAAATGCAATCCATAGGCTTTGGAGTAGCCTTGATTAATGCATTCTCTCCGGTCTTCAATCTACCTTGATAAAAAGAGGAGGAAAGGTTGCCGGCTAGTCTCGACAGTCTTGAACATTTATCAAGGCGTCTGCCTAGTTGATTCTCAGCGAGGCCCCACCCGGCTCGGCCAGGCTGATGATTGACCCTGATTCCAATCTCTAGGTATCCCTCTTTGGGCTTCCCGCATCTTGTACTATAATGTACAACCAGTCGCTGACCGACGCAAAGTGGGTATCCTGCACGTCGGCCCAGGGTGTTCGTAAATTAGTGAATCCGTAATTCACTTTCCATAAGTCCATGGTGGCTCGGGTTGTGTTAGAGATCTGTGGTATGTGTCACAAACTACGTGCAGCGATGGAGATGGGAGGCTGTGGTGAAAGTCGCCGTGTCGGCGTGGACCAGTTTGGCTGCAGTTTCCCCATTCGATTCCGCGTTTCCTTTCCTAGAAGCAGTCGTTTGATCAGAAAGCATAGCCAAGCATGAATACGACCTCGGCAACGTGAACCTAGGAATCTACGAAGTGCATGGGTCGAGTCAGTGCCTTGTCGCACAACATTTCGAGCCCCGAGTAGCTACGTTCCAATGCCCAAATTTGTTCTCTGAGAGTGTCGTGGGCTTTGACCCAGTGGACCAGAGGCCTTTGAGAATTGGTTACTGAACAAGCCCAAGTCGGCTTCAGCAAGATTCCGGGGAGACTAAGAGTGACCTGGACCAAGGTTGCATTCACCCCTATTTCGAGAAATCCCTGCCATCATGACAGCACAAAATTTTGAGTAACACTTCTGTTTCTAGTGTCTTGTTGTTCTTGTGGTCATGTCCTAGACCTTGTGAATGCTTGAACGAAAGGAGTGTTTATTTCCTCCACAATGCCACTTCAGTATGCAGTGATACACTCACAATACATGTATGAGTACGGTGCGGAGAAAGTCTCACCATATGCTCCTTGCATACACCGGCCAGTTGACCGGGTATTGCGGCCACTGGCTATTCTCGCATATAGACACTTGGCGTTTTCTGCTAACCGCCCCGCCGTCAGGGACAATTTCCCTCATCGAATGACGCCTATGTCGAACATATGCAGGCCGAGATTATCGACGGTTTATAACGAATCATAAGGTACATTAATTTAAATCACGCGACGCAACTGCATGTTTGCTGCTGAGCGGAAATTGAGATAAGTGATCCTGGCCCCTGTGACTGGTTTCTAGCATTTTCCCGATAGAAGCCCTTATTCTCAGTTGAGCACCTTACTTCCTGCATCATCTTCCTTGACAGCTATGTTCTCAAGATAGACTTTCTGTCTTCCGGGATATTGCTCCCCTACGGCATGTTCTTTACCATCGAAGGTCACTGAATCTTCTCGAGCATCCGCAAAATTCGTCGAGGATATGGAAGGCCAAAGCGGAAGATTACCTCAATACAGGTATGAAGCTGAACCAGGAAGCCTGCGCCGCGAAAGCTATCATTCATTTGGCGACGAGGGCCTCACTGCGACTGTCGGTTCATCTGGTCGCTTATTAGAGATGTCGCAATATGTACCAGAACAGCCTAGAGGCTTTCGCGTGGATGAAAATGGCATGGAGGAGCCCTGCTGGGTGGTCTCACGCCTCAGCCAGCTTCTATCGAGGGCCAGCAACCCCCGTTTCACTGGAGGCATTGGCCCCAGAATCGACGCCGGGACGCCATTGCAAGAACCCCGCTTAGTGAAGTATGTCCACGATCGATGGCCATCTTTCAGTCAAAAGGGAACAGATGGCATGAAGGTCGAAGTACGATACATAGCTTCTGGGGGCACCATCTATCAAAACTGTCACGAAAGAGGTATAGCAGTGGATATCTCAGGGGTAGAGATAAGGGGTAGACAGGGGTATGGGCATACAAAAGGGGCTCCCTCGAGGGCATCCCTTTTCCCCTTTCCATAGTTGATTAGACCACAGTTGAGATCCCGATTTCCATGAGCTACTCTATATGCTGATTCGTGACAAAAACTATGTGTTCGATTACTCCAGCGCTGTTACCGAGCGATCTACCGCCAAAACACCTCCTCGCCTCACAATCGCGGGTGATCTGTTGATCAGAGATCTAGACTATGATGAGGAGGAAAGCAATGACAGAAATTTCAGCAGCCAATTTGATTCTGGGTACGAACAGCCACGGCTTATTCATGGCTGTATTGTACAAAGTCGTCAGATGAGCGATGGAAAGGTAGTGAATTGGTACACCGCCGCATTCGACCACAATTCATCCCGTGGGGTCTTTCAGTGCAGTTCTGATGTTAGTGGGGATGAAAACGAAAGGTCTCGACACTTTACGTTCAATTAGAGTTACGAGGCATCAGAAATAGTCCGTAAAGGTGGCAGGCTTACAGTCACCATTGCATACAGACTAGGGTTGATTATGGACAAGCAAGATCGCCAACCTTCATCACCGTCCGATCTTTCGATGCTGTCCACCGAAGCTTACTCTGAAGCAATGAGTTTGTTTGAAATCCAGTTCGAAGAACAAACTTTCACCGCCGACGCCGATGTCAATTTTCGTCTGAGAAGGAACTTGGAACACGTACTGTCTGTATGCAGTGTTCCTGTCTCTTCAGCAGATGAACTGAACACATGTGCTATCGCTCTTACATGTGGCGATGTTGACAACCATCGCATTACAGCATCAGCCAGCTTGTGAGTCATTGCCTTATTCATAACGAAATTGATTACGCTGTACACGACGCTCATAAAAGCAATCTAGCTACGCATTTCAGATTTTACTGCTTGCCCAAAGACATTTCCAATCGCATCACGAAACGAATCCGGCCTGCGTATGCGAGAAGAAGGTTGCCTCAAAATTGGAAGGAACTTACACGTGTATCATGATTAGAGGCATTGAACGCGTGTGTAAGGGTCACATCAAATGGGTCTTCGAGTGTGCTAAGAAGACCGGAAAGCCCTTTGGTAGTAATTACTGGTTGAATGGCGACAGACGCTCTACGAGATACCGGGTAAATGGCCGCGACACACTTCGAAGAAGCCTTGCCGATACACCTTTCCAAATCATCAAGCCGAGGGACTTTTACATGGCATATGGAGAAACCTCACTAGGGAAGCTACTGAAAGCCATCCGGGAGCTACCATAGCATGGATCGACGAACTGGGTCAAATCAATTCGTTGGGCATGGATGCGTTCCCGCGTTACAATGACGATACAGTCAAGAACTTTGATCTCGCTGATCACGGCTGGATTTGGGAGTCGATCAAATCTGCCGAAGATTTGAAACTCCTTCCAAGATCCGGAAGCCCAAAATCGACGGGATGTACATCGAGACGCCTCAGAGAAAACATTCCGAAAAGATTCGTCACTGAAAACCCGTATTCAGAGACAAAGGAGCCCCAAAAAATGATAGCTGTGACTCGAAATTCTGCAGAAAGTAGATTTCTCTTTCATTCGAAAGATACTGTAATCTTTCGTGCTATGGAACTAGGTCTCTTCGATCAAGGTGGGATCAGACAGGCTCGACTGGAATGGAGAACCGCAAGGTCGGCGAATGGGAAAATACTATGGACTGTCAGAAACAGCACGAAGATAATGACGACACTTTGTGGACAGAGCCGCGAAGATTCGGTCTGTCTATTATTATGGCAAGGCATGGAAAGCCCATCCATTCGCGATCGACAAAAGAAATGCTTGAACACGCCACATCAATCTTGGTCAAAAGCTCCTTCACCAACGGTCTCTTCCCTGGAAAGCTGAGTGAGCTTCAAGAACCAGCTGCGTATTACCAAGAGAGTCACAGGGATAATGTCAGAGCCCTCCCGGATAGGGGCTAGTTAGAGGTAGTAAGGAGTCCAAGCAACTGTCGGAACGGCAAGGCTGATAAGGAGCAATGGGCAGGTATCGTGGGCTGGCTGGCGCCTGCCCTGGGCGAAGTGGGACAACCGGCTTAGTCATCACGGCCGGTTAAGGTGGGGCAACCACCCAGGCTGTCACCACCTACTTCGACCGACCCCTTGTTGTTGTTCTATTTAACGCCATGGCGGCAAGGGCGCAGCCGCCCTTGCGGCAGACCTCCCGGAGGATATGTGGCGTGAAGGGTCGCAGGCTCTAGCTATATACTATATAGTACACGCCGTATCCTGACCTCCTCCAAATCTTGCTCGTGAGCTACTATGTGTTCTATCCATCCCTAGTTCCCACTGGTGCCCTAGTTCCGTTATAACCATCTGGTTTCTTAATAGAGGTAGTTTGTCGTTTGGAGGATAGGTTATGACCTATCTCCTAGTACCGCGGGCAGATCTTCTGGAAGAAGTCTGTCACGCAGAGGAAGGCCTGGAAGCCTTCAGAGTCAGTGATTAGCCCCTTGAAGTAGCGATCGAGGGACCCTATAGGTCCTACGGGCTCCTGGCGGCTGTAGGGGTAGAGGGTGGGCCACTGTTGCCTCCTCAGTAGGGTCTTTCGGCAGTAGACTAGATGGTCTGCCTCCTTAACCCACTCACAGGAGCAGGTGAGTAGTGCTTACTCAGTTCAATGTTGAACTCGGCGAGAGAGTCTTCGCCGAAAAGCTCCGACTCCAGTGACTGGTTCGATGGAATACTTCCTGGTGATTCGGAACTGCTATTATCGACACTGTTCGTTAAGGCAAGACGCTTTCTTCGCTCTGCTAGTGCTGCACAATCCAGCCCGCCCCGTCGCGATGGGGCATATTAGCAGTCTTTGGCGGCGCCAGCACATCTATCGCAATGAGGTCGCTTTCCGTCGCACTTCAGATGCTTTGAGCGGCATGGCAAACAGGCCAGTGATGAGCGGGATGCTCCGCCATTCAAGTGTGTAGGGGGGGTCATCGGTGCACGTGTTTGCGGGTGTGTGAAGTTGGAAATTGGAAGAAGGTCGGATGTCCGCCGTCCCCTTTGACGGCTGCGGGGACTCGGGTATTCGGGGACCCGTTGTAAATCAATCGGGTACCCGATGTAAGCCAGCCGCCACGTTCGCGACAAAGCCGTGTAGCCAAGTATGTTAGCGTGGAAGAGATCAACAACGGCGCAATGGGGGCTTGTTGACACAGGATGCGGGTGCTGTCAGTCCAAGCTCTCGGGGATCGAAATCACAAAAATAAGCATGTTTACTCAAGGTTCTTGTGAATCCTGAGAGTGACAGTAAACGCATAAGAATCTGCGAACTTCGGGACTACCCACATCAAACAAGACCTCAGGAACAACACATGCAAAATCTCTCAGCCGTATCGCAGCTACTTTCTCGACATTTTCATCATCTATTTGAAGTCTTAGTTCTGGCAGTCACTTGAATGCAAACATGTCCGGCAGCATCATCATCATTGGAGCCGGATTCGCAGGTGTCTGGAGCGCCCTGTCTGCCAGACGCCTCATCAAAATCCACGGACAGAGCGAAGCCTTCAAAGTTACTGTTATAGCTCCGCAGTCATGCCTTATCATGCGGCCACGACTGTACGAAGCAAATCCGTCTAACATGAGTCAAGAACTCGGACCACTATTTGAGGCATCCGGTATCGTACAAGTCGGACGCAGACATTGGGCATCACGTCCCATATGACCGTCTCATCCTTGCAGCTGGAAGCTCGGTTATTCGACCACAGCAAGTGCATGGACTCGAGCAGCATGCGCATGACGTGGACTCACTGGAAGGCGCAAACAAGCTTGAAGCGCATCTCAACAATCTTGGAGCGTACTCATCAAGAACCCGCGAATAATCTTGATAGAGGCAGCGGGCGTGCTTGGTCCAGAGCTGGGACCTGGTCCTCGACCGGTGATCACTCAAGCGTTGGATGAGCTTGGAATCGAACTTAGACTCGGCTCGCCTATTACAGCAGTCGAATCAGAGGGTGTTCAACTCGCATCTGGAGAGATAATCGAGACTATGACGACCATTTGGACCGCGGGAGTGAGAGCAACACCGTTGACGCAGAAAATCCCCGGACCCAAGGATAAGCTATCACGCCTCCACGTCGACCGCTACCTGCGCGCCGTGTCATCAGAGCGCGTCTTTGCCACTGGTGATGCTGCTTACGCCGCCTCTGACAGCAATGGGCATTACGCGCTGATGTCCTGCCAGCACGCCCTTCAGCTTGGTCGTGTCTCGGGATACAACGCTGCTGCAGACCTCTTGGGAGTTCCCCTTTTCGAGTATAAACAGGAATCGTACAATTGTTGTCTTGATCTTGGAGCATGGGGGGCTGTGGTTACGAGTGGTTGGGATAGGAAGTGTTGGTATCACAGGCGTGATACATTTCCTCATGAGGGTGTATCTTCGGCAACAATCACGTCGATGTCCGTGATAATTGCTGTTGTTGTTCTTCCTATTTACATTGTGGGCAGGGGTCGGTCGAAGTAGGTGGTGACGGCCTGGGTGGTTGCCCCACCTTAACCGGCCGTGATGACTAAGCCGGTTGTCCCACTTCGCCCAGGGCAGGCGCCAGCCAGCCCACGATACCTGCCCATTGCTCCTTATCAGCCTTGCCGTTCCGACAGGAAGATACGCTTCTCGGGGGAGTCGGCAAAACAGGCCAAGATGTTCCCTAACCAGAGGTTGATATACACGCCCGACGACTGTCAACAAGCACTAGAAGCGGCTAACCCCGTTGGGCCTGACTCTGACGAATTGTTCAAGCAAATCATGGATGCCGCTCCACAGCAGTTGCGCTAGTGGGCCTATTATTTATGTAAACCTTAGTTCTCTAACCTGAAGGACGGGCCTGCCCTGACCTTGCCTAAAGGGTCTTCAATCTAGCATTTGATCTCTAGAGACTTTTCTCTACCTCATCGGCAATCTCGTTAATCTGCTCAAAAAACTTGTCCACCTCAGTGATGAAGGCCGAATGTCCGCCAGGATTTCTCAGAACTCTCTTCAGCGTAGGAATGGTCGAGATGATTTGCTCTTGCGTGGCTGGGGATATGGTCTGATCTTTCTCGCAAAGGATGTAGTAGACGGGAACCATCAATGCCTCCGAACCGACAGATGCCGGACCCAGGAGAGCCTCTTGCGACTGCGGCAACAGTGCCGCCATGCACTCATCAGCCAAGTTGTCGTCCATATCGGGGCCGTAGAATGCTGCCTTGGCCTTGGCGTTTGCCGTGACCAGTCCATCAGCCATGTCGACAATATCCAAGCCGGGGGGCAGCACGCTCAGTGCACTGGCGCCGGCTTTAGGGGGCATATTGGCTGTTACGAAGACGATGGCGCGAAAACCGCCCTTGAGACCCAAAGTTGCTCTTTCCTTGACCGAGTAACCTTTCGCTGCGATGGTCAAGGGGCTTCCGCCGTATGAGTGAGCCAAAGCAAGGAACTCTTTGCCCTGGTCCAGGTAAGGGGCAAGATCGGCTTGGATGTTCCGGGCATCGTCGTCAACGGTGATTTTGGGATCGGTTCCCACACTGGGGTGGCGGACTGCAACAACTGGAGAAAAGCCTGCCTTCTCCAGCCGAGCTTTGGCAAGGTCAAAACAAGCGGGGAGGTGGAAGCCCCCGTGGGCGAAAACAATGCCCAGTGATCTGGAGGGGTTTGATACTGCCGACATTGTGCTTTAAGATCGAGGTCTATTTTCTTTGAGGATGAATGATGTGAGTTGAAGTAAGGACGGGTCTTCGGAACTTTTTGCAACACAATTGCTACAAGTATTTCGTCTTGTAGCTCGGGCAGACAAATCTGACTCAAGATTGAGAATCGACATGTGAGGGAAGTGTTGATCATCTTATGGACGGGTCCCAAACTTCCGTTAGTCTTAACCTTGCAGTCTTGGTGGGACAAGTGAGTCGCTTAATGATCCGATGCAATGTGGCTGTTGGTTTGCGTGTAGCACAGGTTAGTCACACAGGTATTCCTGGTATCGCGATCGGTAGCAATATCGTTGGGTTAATCTGGTGTTCTTGTTGTTGTTATTATTGTTAAGGAGAGTATCTAAACGCGAAGGCTCGTGATATGGAAGGAGGGAGCTGAGGTGTGTCACGTGCCGAAGACACGTGACATAGCTCGGCTCCGTGTATACCTAGCGATTGCCGTTTGTTCCCACAGTGGCATTTCTTCAAAGGGACGAACCCCCAGCAGAAACCGCCTTCATTTATGGGAATAACGCGATAAGCAAACCAATCAAAGGTAATGGGTCGTTTTGAAACCGGTGATTTCTGAACAACCAACAGCCTCATTCTTAGTTTGAATTCTGCTAAGTTGAAACTGGTTGACGAATCAGGAGGCACCGACCTTCAAGAACCGGCAAGATAGATAACAACTCTGGCAACGCTAGAGATTTTGTACAAAATTCCTGATAAGATGGCTCTGGGTGTTCCAAGGTATAGGAAAGAGAGTTTGCTTGACTCGGGACGAGTAATTACATACGGCATCGTGAGGATTTATTGTGGTGCGGCCCACGGATCGCGGCATCGTGACGAATGGATTCAAGGGTGGAAGACATGGGTCCCAGGTACCGGATCGAACGGCGCAGCTCCGCGCGCGACGCCGGTCTGATTACGGGATTATACTCGCTAACAGCACAATCCAGCAAAAGAAGTGTCCTTTTCCGTATAGTTGTCTCTTTTCGTTTTGGGCTGACAGTGAGTTTACATCATTCTTACTTCTAAAATTCTCACCGCTTCTTGACGGTGTTTTTACCCGACATTTAGCAAACTGCTTTCCCAACTGGATGGACAAGTTGTGCTAGATTCGTCACAAAGCACATCATGTCGGACGTTACATATTCTTCCGCAGAAAATATTGCAAGGGTTCTAATTGTGTCCCATGCTTTTTCAGTGTTTTGGCAACCGTCCTGGTTGGTTTGCGACTTTATGTCACCAGAGTTGTCGCCAAGTCACCATGGACTTTTGACGAACATGTCGCCATTGTAGCATTGGTGAGAGGGCCCATATCCTTCGTGATGTACATGCATTCCAGAAAGAGCCAGTATAGACCAACATGGACAATAATCAAATCCGCCTGCGTGGCGTGTCCTGGCGAATACACTTTGAGGAAGAAGTTCGTGAATGATTGGATCACAGAAATTTCATGATTCCACATAAACTTCACTTGTGGATGCTCTGGTGGGATAATTAAAATCAAGTAATAACGTGGTTTACCAGTCAGCCGCGCATATCAGTCAGCCGCGCATTTCCTTATCGTATACTAAGTCGCCTACATTATATATTTAATATCTTTTTCATTGTTGGTTATATAACGTTCAAACTTTTTCATCAGTCTTTGATAAGAGTCACTAAACTAAATAAAAAGTTTTAAAAATTAATTTCTATTTAGAGATAGAGTAAATATATTATATCCTTATCAAAGACCCATATTTCTATTCCACTACTTATTTCAATAAGTTATAAAAAGATTAAAGTGTCTTTTTCTATTAAATTTAACTAAGTTAGTTATATTTTAAATATATTATAAAGATACTGAAATCTTTTTAATTAGTTATTATTCAAAGAAATTAGGTAAATATGCAATTTAGTATGCGATAAGGAAATGCGCGGCTGACTGATATGCGCGGCTGACTGGTAAACCACGTTACTCATATGATGAAGTGCATTTGCGTACCTTGTGCCATCCGGAGACAGATGAAGACTGACTCGATAGGGGGCTTCGGGAGGTCCCACACGCAAGAGCCTGGTGCGAGAGCAATGGCGTTTGGGTACAGATAGTCGGGATCTTGTTGGTTTTTCTCATTCCCGAGCGTACGATCCAGAGTCTCTAACACCGATACCATCTCACCCGTGATGTCAGTTGGATGCTTACTGTTGACGGCATCATGAAGAAACATATTTGCAAAAGCAGCTTGCGCTGAAAGAGACGACTCTCCCTCAAACTCCACCCTTGGCGTAATGATCTTATCCTCTTCCTGTCGTGAAGAAGATCCTGCTTTAAGTGCATCTGGTGTCATTCGAGAAGGAGTCGGTGACGAAACATCATCATGTGTGAAGCTGTACGGCGTGCTGATTTTGGGCCTGTTGCTTCCCTGGTCGCCCAAACAAAGCCTGCCTCAAGTCTTCGAGTTTTTCCGCGATGAGGTCAATCTTTCGTTCGCTTCAAAAATCTCAGCAGGGCATTCGAATGAGTTGATTCATTGTAATCCACTTACTAAACCTCAGATATGAAGACTCGGTGCCGCTTTTCCTTGGGCTTCTGCTTGGTCGGATAATCGCATACTGCACCTGATCGGGTGCAGTGAGAACATGGAAGACGTCGATCACAACGTACCTATCTAGACATCAGTACCTAATTTCTTCAGACCCATGGTAGATAGAGCGTGTTAATGCCAGCTTAGCCTACCTTACGACGTCGGCAACGATCGCACTGGTCCGAACTAGTAAGCGGACATTCGGAAACACAGAGTCGACATTCAGCGAGACTTACATATATCCTGGGGACCGAGACTTCACCAACGTCTTCCTGGTGGCTATCCTCATCATGGGGCTCACTTCTACCGTTTTCTTCCGTGGGAGTGACATCCATTCTGACAATTATGCTTCAATGTTCCGTCCCGTATCAGGGCATCGTCCAACTGTTGTCTTCATACTTTCACTTCGGGAAGAAAAGCTAGCAAAAGGCGAGTCCTTGGACCGAAAGGATGCCGTCTGTAGAACGGTTTTCCAAAATTTGTTTGCTCGTCTACACTGCGCGGAAGTGGTCGCAGCCTGTTCACCACAGAGAGAATCATTAACGCGCCCCGCGGGTTCCGCGACATAGTCTCACACTGCCTGTTCGCGAACTTTCCCAAAGCCTGAATCAAGATTGGTTCCACTATTTGACACCTCTGACAAAACCAACTATTTACTACTCTGAGTAATGAAGAGCGGGCGTATGGATGCTTGGCATCCCGCGTCCGAAGTAAAGGGTGTGGCTTCGGGTGCGGTCTCTTTGAAACCCGCACCACCGCTGTTCCCCAATCCGGACTGTCTTACACGGCACCGAGCATCGTAAATTAGCAGGCTCTCCATATGTTGTGACTGCGCACGATAATTTCAGTAGAGATCAGACTTGCTTGAAAGTTTTGGTGTCTGCAGAAGATGTTCAAAAGCACCGCCGGTCCTTCGGGATGGTGAGCGCCGTTTATTCTTGGTGAATATGCCACCAAGTGTCTGACTGTTGGAATAGGCCTACATTAGGCAGCAGGAGGTTGCTGCCGCGGTCCGTTCCAGCCACGGTGGTCCGTGTGGCTCAGCCACACGAGGGTGGTATACCCCAGACTTCCTGCCGCCGCTGGCACCTGGTTAGACTTCCACAGAAGAACAACAAGAACAAGCAATATCACCACTACAGTCGGTGATCGTTGCTACCCACGATACTCGAGTATTTTCCTTTCCCACCTGTGAATCCAACACTGATCAGTGGTTAACCTCACAGTAACCACTACTGCGATATACTGCAGATCAGCAAGGTATTACAGAAGAGACTGTTGCGACGCCTCACCACGGGATCCCTTCAGTGCTAATCACGAAATCGCCGGCCCTCCACAACCCGCATTATCGTCAACCTTTCTTCCGCAACTACGTTGCCGTTGATAAGGGCGTCTATCACGCTGTCGTCGATCGACCTCGCAGCCGAATACCCTTCCGTACGACAAGTGCCGTTGGAGAAGTCCGTTGCTCATCACGATAATTCAACTTCGTCAACTTCGTCAATTTCGTTGCCCACAACGAATTTCCTCACGATACTTTTTTTTTTTCACCTTCAACCCACAAATTCGCGAAGATTCGCGGAAGTACGCGAAAAACACCTACTGTACCTTCCTTACCTTCTACACTTTTACGCGATATCCACGCTGTGGCAAGGCCGCAGGCTCCTACTTGCTATCTCTGCGACTACTCACTTCACTAATCCTCCTCCCTTAACTACGCTACACCATGACGGAATCGCAGACGTCACAGGATCTGCCCATCCCGTACGGCTTTGGCCGACTTATCGACCTAACGGTATGGGGAAGCAACGATGAGATCCTTTTTAGCGAGCGCGATAATAGGAAGGTATGTACACACATTGCTTACTCCATCGCTACGTGGTTACAAGAACAAACCTTTGGTCGCGAATTATTCGCCGCCTTCCAACGCGACTTCGATGGATGGGACGAAGAATTCTTCCACGCGGCAGGATCAAGGGCACTCAGCCTGCTCCGCGATCACCTCCTCTTCAATGGTGTCCATATCCCTAAGACCAGGGACAAGGTGGCTCCTAGGCTGGTGGAAGTTCTGGATCGTGACACCTTTCATACATGGACGGATGAGGAAGTCGAAGAGATGCGTCATCATTCCCCCTACTTTAACCGTCTATTAGATGAGGATCCACGTATCCTCGAGGATATCCAACGACAATATATCAGCCCGCAACAACGAACGGCTATGAGGGAGAAGCAATATCAACAGCAGATGGAGATTGAGAGACAGCAAAGGAAGAACGAGAAGGAGAAGGAGGACCGTATGAATGAGATTCTTGCCAAGGAGCTGGCAGCCAGGGCAACCAGGGGAGTTGACAACCCTCCTCTACCAGAACGACCAACCCGACAGAAGCCGACTCCTCGACAGTCGCCAGCTCAATCGGTCCACTCAGTATCTCGTCGACCTACCCCAATTACACGCCCATTATATCCTACGATAGCACCTCCCACTACGCAATCTCGTCATATCTTACCAGCGCCCCCGCTGTCGCCGAGACCCGCGATGATGGAGCACCCTCCACAACACCTTCCGCCTCATGACGAAGACTTCTACGTCGGCCCACAAGGCCACAACTTCCCTCTACAGGACTATCCCCCTGTCACCACAGGCTTCCCACCACAACCTCCTATCGACAACGTTGCTACACGAACCAGCAAGCCAACCTCTAGGCAACTTTCCGATCTCGCCAAGCTGATACCTGACGAAAACAAGTACGGTGGCGAGATGTATGATGTATTGGACATTAAGTTAACGAACTTCCGTGATAACTGCGAGAAAGTCGATATCGAGGAGGACCAACTGGGCTACGCCTTCTCTATCATGCTCCGCGGCAAAGCTTCCACATTTTATCTTCAACGAATCTGCGGCAGGGGCCCACGTGACTTTTTCTCGATGGTTCGACAAATCAGGAACCACTTCGAGAATGAGGAAAGTCAGCAGAATTACCTCTCCCAGTGGCGAGAGACTAACTTCAATCGCATCGCTCAAGAGCACCCCGACAAGACGAAGATACAGGTCCTTGAGGCCCTCATCGAGAAGCTCACAGTCATTCAACGAGCTCTCCCCGCTGTGTACCAGTCTGACGAGGTCCTGCGAGGCCAGCTTGTCAATGCTTGCTCCGGGGTCCCAGAGTGTACTTTGTGCCTGTATAACCCCTCCCGGACATTGGAAGGCGTCTGCAACCAGCTTCGATCAGCCGTCAGCACCGCTATCCGCATGAAGAAGGACCACCAGTATGTTACTGAACCATTCAAGCAATACTGGGTCGACCGCACTTATCGCGGCCGAGGCCGAGATGATCGATACGGCAACAGCCGTGGCCGGGGCACAAATCGACCTCATAACCGCGGCCCGCCAGACCGCAAGTCTGACCGCCATTGCTATGTCTGCAAAAAGCCAGGCTGCTGGTCATCGAAACACTCGCTGGACGAAAGACGGCAGGCATACGATCGGTACAAAAGCAATAGATACGTGCAGGATACCTCGTCAACGGGATACGGTAACTTCCTTGCCGAGTACGAAGGCTTCGAATCTCTTGACGACGACGATGGAGAGGAAGATATCCGCCAATACCTCCAGACGACCCCTGCGCCCACCAACAACGATGATGAGGAGGCTGATGACAGTGATGCCTTCCTCGTCAGCACCGCCTTTTTCAACAAGAGCAACTTCAGCGGCAAGGCTATTTTGTCACAATTAGCTGACCAATCGGTCTTCCATCAATTGACTAAGGCAGATCTCGGCGACCAGACTGCCAAGGAAAACGCGGCTGTCTTCGTACTTGACCGATACTCAGCAGAAGTCTTCCAAGGGATATTACCAGATACGGGAGCAGCCGGAGTTTCCACTGCAGGATACTCCCAAGCTCTTGCCCTTCGACGAACCTTTCCATCAGTAGAAATCGACACTTCGCAAGCGGGAAAAGCAAATGTCCGCTTCGGCGGAGGCGATCTTCTGCCCTCAAGCGGCACCATCACGGTCCCCACCCCGTTCGGACATATCGAGTTCTACGTCGTACCCGTCAATACCCCATTTCTGCTCTGCCTCGCCGATATGGACCGTCTGCGGATTCGCTTTGACAATCTCGCCAATACACTGCAACAAGGCAACGTTGTTGTGCCTGTTGTTCGTAAATGGGGCCATCCGTGGCTGCTACTTGGCCCGCCTGAGCAGAGCCTCGCCTGGAACCACCTCACGGACGTGGAATTACGCAGACTTCATCGTCGCTTCGGCCACCCATCTGTCCAACGACTTCACAAGGTTCTTCACGAGGCTGGCCATGACGTTGAGACCGCCGCAATCGAGCAATTGACGAAGTACTGCCATCAATGCCAAATGCACAGCAAGTCGCCCGGCCGATTCAAATTTTCCCTTCGCGACGACTGCTCTTTCAACTACGAAGTCATCGTTGACGTCATGTACCTCGACGGCGATCAACCCGTCCTTCACGTTATTGACCTCGCGACTTCCTTCAACGCGGCCCACTTTCTCAAAGACATCTCTGCGAAGACTACGTGGGAAGCTCTTCGAATTTGCTGGATTGATGTGTACCAGGGACCACCTGACTGGATCGTCGCTGACGCCGGCCGCAACTTCACAGCAGCCGACTTCCGCCGCGAAGCTCGCGCAATGTCTATTGAAGTCAAGATCATCCCTGTCGAGGCACATCACAGCATTGGAAAGGTTGAAAGATACCACGCAGCTCTGCGACGAGCCTACGATGTTATCCGCAAGGAATGCCCACTGACTACACGAGAGTCATCGCTACAAAGCGCGGTCAAGGCAATCAATGATACTGCCGGCCCTGACGGCATCGTCCCTACCCTTCTCGTCTTTGGCGCATACCCACGTATGACCGACGATTCCGCCCCATCTCCCGATATCGTCAAACGCGCCGCCGCCGTACGCAAGGCAAGCAACGAGTTACGCAAGCACTTTGCCAAGCGGCAAGTGAATGAGGCCCTGGCAGCACGAAACGGCCCTGATACAACCGCGCTGAAGTCACTTACAATTGGATCGCAAGTCCGCGTCTGGCGCGAGAAAGAAGGATGGAGTGGCCCTTATCGCCTACTTGCTACTGACGGTGAGGAGTGCACCGTTGACGTCAACGGACCGCGTAACTTCCGATCAACCGTTATCAAGCCCTATTACGCAGACCCTGACGAAGATGTTCCTCATAATACCGACAAAAGCGACGACCACGCAGAGGATACTATTGTCGTTGCTACTCCCCCGAGGAACCCTGTCGCAGCTGAGACTACTCCATACCCTCGTCGTACCCGCGGCCGACCGCGCAAGAACTTCGTCGCTGACGCGCTTTTACAGGAGACTGACGTACCTGATAACCCGTCACTCCTTCCCTCCTCCTCTACCTTTCTCTCTGCTAAAGAAGAATCCGATAAGGCCCTCGCAAAGCAACTACGCGATAAAGGGACGATAACCACCTCTGGTGAGCCCTTCGAACTATCTACGAAGACCGAGATAGATAGCCTTATCGCACGGGGGGTATTCGAATTCGTCACCCTCGACCTTGCTAAGCACGATAGCCGTATCTTCAAATCACGTATCGTTAACGAGGTAAAGGGCAAGAATACCGATAAGCCCTACGAGAAGTCACGCCTTGTTATCCAAGGATATGCTGATGACGGGAAAGAAGCTATCCTTACGCAGTCACCGACCATACAACGAGCAAGCCAGCGACTGATACTTGCACTTGCTCCGTCCCTTCTGCGTGACAACCATCAGCTCTGGCTTCGCGATATCACGCAAGCATACGTCCAGTCAACTTCACAGTTGAATCGCACTATTTACGCACGACTACCTACCCAGATTCGCGATGACTACCCTCCGAATACGATTATGAAAGTCGTCAAGCCACTATATGGCATTGCCGAAGCTGGCACTCATTGGTGGGCAACGTACAACCGCCACCATAGAGAAAGTCTCGAGATGAGTACCTCATCATACGACCCGTGTCTTCTGCTGTCATCTATTGATAACCCTCACTTCGGCCTCATTGGCATGCAAACAGACGACACTATCGGCCTTACAGACCTGCCCTTCTCTGCGAGAGAGGATGAAGAACTTGTAAAGGCTGCTTTCACCGCTAAGGCAAAGCAGTATCTCTCAATCAATGAGCCACTCATCTTCAACGGTGGCATCGTATCACTAACCTCAGCAAAAGACACTTCGATCGTCCTACGACAGAAAGGGCAAGGGAAAAAGCTGCAACTCGTCGACGGAGATTCGCCCACAGCCCAACAAGATTATGTCCAGCAACGTGCCCGTGGGGCATATATCGCCTCAATCTGCCAGCCCGAAGCATGCTACGATCTGTCAGCCGCCGCCCAGCACAAAGAGCCCGATGCTGAAGCCATCAAGAGCCTCAACCGACGGTTACAGTGGCAGATGAATTCGCTAGACCGCGGTCTAACTTTCATCCCGCTGAACCTGGCAACCGCGAAGCTCTTTGTCTTTGTTGACGGCTCTTTCGCCAATAACCACGATCTTACCTCACAGCTCGGCTTCCTCGTTATCCTTGCTAACGAGACTATTGACGATGATAACGGTACTTTCACGATTGACGGCCATATTGTCCACTTCTCCTCCACGAAATCGAAGCGAGTGACGCGCAGCGTGCTTGCCTCTGAAGTCTACGGCATGGTTGCCGGCGTAGATATGGCCTACGCTATCTCATCAACTCTTGCAATGGTTACACAAAAACTTGGCAACCCGACCATCCCTACGACTGCCTGTACCGACTCATACTCGCTATACGAATGCCTCGTTAAACTGGGCACCACCCAGGAGAAACGCCTGATGATCGACATCATGGCACTTCGGCAGTCATACGAGCGACGGGAGCTCTGCGAAGTCAGATGGATCCACGGCGATGATAACCCCGCTGACAGCTTTACTAAATCGTCGCCCAATCGAGCCCTCGAGGGCATTATTGACACCAATCACGCGGTCATTAGAATGGAGGGATGGGTTACACGTACGTGAAGGAGGGAGAGAGACGAAGATTCGGCTAATCCAAGTGGATAATCGGCCGACTATTGTTATTTCTCGGTACTGTATAATTGGGTCTTGATTCTGTCCTATTCCCGGCTTTTGCAAGAGAGAAAAGTTGCCAGTGTTGGAATAGGCCTACATTAGGCAGCAGGAGGTTGCTGCCGCGGTCCGTTCCAGCCACGGTGGTCCGTGTGGCTCAGCCACACGAGGGTGGTATACCCCAGACTTCCTGCCGCCGCTGGCACCTGGTTAGACTTCCACAGAAGAACAACAAGAACAAGCAATATCACCACTACAGTCGGTGATCGTTGCTACCCACGATACTCGAGTATTTTCCTTTCCCACCTGTGAATCCAACACTGACAATATTTCGTGCCATTGAGCAGCAACCACTCATTTCAATTTCTCGACGACGAATGGAACCTATCTGCAACATTATCCTGCCCTACTTTCTTTGGAGAATTGAAGGACTTCCGGACGATATCTTCTGCCTCTTCGATCATGGAGAAGCGAGAAGTGCCTTCCAAGCGCGAAAGCATTGATACTGTCGGATTGGAAGTCCAATTCGGCCGCGAGTAGGGGCAGAGCATGGGCCACCTCGAGGGGGTACACTTAGACCTCGACTACCCACCCAACCTCCGGTTGGAAACTCCCTTCTACTCCTTACGCAGAATCAATCAATACAGAGATATTGATACTTCGTCACCCCCAGGACCCTACGGTTCGAACCAAATTCCCTGTGAAAGGAATACCAACATCGACGACATAGGCTCCCTCACGGACCTCAGCCCTCGCCTATACCGCAGCAAACTCGCACTCGTCCAACAAGAGCCGACACTCTTCCCTGACACCATCAGAGAGAACATCAAAGCAGGCATCGATTTCGAGGCCGACGAGGAAGCCGTGGCAGATGACAGCGTTGTCGAAGCAGCGTGCCGTGCAGCCAATGCCTGGGACTTTGTCAGTTCTCTCCCCCAAGGGCTCAACACGCCGTGCGGACATGGCGGAAGCCAACTTTCCGGTGGCCAGAGACAGCGGATCGCCATAGCGAGGGCCCTGGTGCGCAACCCCGTTGTCATCCTGCTAGATGAGGCAACGAGTGCGTTAGACACGGAGTCCGAGAAGGTTGTTCAGAAGGGGTTACTGGAGGCGGCGGGCACGGGCAACCGTATCACCATTGCTGTGGCGCATCGCCTGTCCACAATTCGCGATGCCGACAAGATTTGTGTCTTCTATGATGGTCGGATTGTTGAGACCGGGACGCATGATGAGCTTATCGAGCAAGGAGGGATGTACAAGAAGATGTGCGAGGCGCAAAGCTTAGATAGGGCAGCTTAATTAGATCGATTGATGTCCAGCAGAGTTAGATGATGAGGATATCGAGGGAGGGACTTTCGTATTTTCGGATAGAATCAGGTTTAATTTTCGCAAGGCTTGGAATTCGAAAGATGGCTATCAAGTTGCAAATGTTCGTGTCCACCCAAATGAGCGGTAGGTCTAAGCTTTGAGCCAGTCGACCTTACCCGGCGCGAACACTCTGACTATCGATAATGCCATCACGACTGCTTTACTGCAGGTGATCCCAATCGCCGCACTGGCCTTTGTTCTTCTGGCAAAAAGCCCAAGGGTTCCCGAAGTGCAGGCAGCGGTACTTCGTCCAGGAGGTAGAATCCGCTATTGGACCAAGTTAGCAGTTGCGTGACAAGTATAAACAAGTAATTGTTACTCACGTAGGCAGTACATAGAAGCCCCGGATCCCGTGTCACACGGACAGCAATCACGGTTCTTGACACATTCGGCTATACAAACAGACGTTAGAATGCTGAGAACCTCTCTTGCAGGTACGTACTGCTCTTACCGTTGAGGTGCCGGTAGTGTTGAGGGTCCTGCTGAGCGCTAGCAACAGCGAAAAGGAGAGCCAAAACGTTTCCCGCAGCGAACTTCATTGTGATGGTCGTTTGGTCTGGTGGTATTAATGACGATAGTCGAGAGGAAGATCTAAAGACAGAGACTAGGATTTCTATGATAGTGGCACAATGATATATATGGAATCCAAGGGGACTAAGTGTTCATTCCCTCTCTTGTAAAACTGTCATTAAATTGATTAAAGCCACTGACGGCAAGGGTCCTCGCGCAACTCCCACGATCATTCGGCGTGACCGGTGTGGCAGCATGGGGTCCACATAGGAAGCTTTCCATATAGAAGTGTCTATTAGATTGCAAGTAAAAGCTTGGCCCGTCCCGCGGAGTATGTAAGTGACTGCCTCGACATAATTGATTGTAAAGCAGAAAATTAAAAGAGATTACAAGGCTAAGATTTCGTCACAAAATCCTTGAAAATTAACAGGTTTTTTCCACCCATACGGCATATCCTGCAAGTAAGATGAACCACGACTTTAGAGAAATCTCCTTGGCAGCTCAGTATTGCGGAAAGATTCCATCAGACGAGCTCATTCAAAACAACCATGGACAGTTCAAGTTTCCAGTTTTGAAGTGTAACTTACATGTACTTATCTAGTTGGCTCAGGAGACTGCAGTTGGGGGATTGCAATGATCGACATGTACGCTTAAGAACCGTAACCTACCGTATAGGCGCACTAGCCGTCAACAAGCTCCATCGCCAGCTAGAACAACGGACTCTGAGTTTCTACTAATTTATACAAAGCAGGTGATGAATGAATCCTTTTAGCCTGTCTTTGATTATTCCGTAATGTGCTTAATAAGCGAGTGTCGCAGACAAGCGAGTGTCGCAACTGATTGCAGCTGTAAGATAAATGCAACCAAGGAGCAACACTAAAAACATAAAAACAATCAAGACTTCTCCGAATCCTGTTCCTCAGACATTTCTTCATTGAACTGACATGTTCGCGCATTGTGGCCAGTGTTTCCGCAGACGCCACATCGCCGTTGAGCTGTTTCCGTCCTCGGCCGGCGACCACTACTCCGACGAGTTTCCTCCCTAAGCTGGGCTGTTGCCTCCCTCTGGGACTGAATATCCTCTCCCTCAGCTATAGTGAGGCTTCCTCCTTGTCTGAGACGGGTTTTCTTAGCTCTCCGGCGCCGGCTAAGTAGGTTATTTTCCTCCTGAAGGACTCTAATCTTAGATTCCATTAAGGCAAGCCGATGCATAATCCCTACTGCCCCCTTTGTAAACTGGTCAACAGCATCGTTAATAGGCGTTGGGGAGCTGCTGTGATGACGGGAGATTCGATCCTTAATTAAGGTAGACTGAGAAGTAGCCTCAGTTGGGTTGTTTGGTGTCTTAGAAACCCAAGGAGCTGGTGTCCCAGGGAGTGATCCTGGAGGTATTGGAGTGTGTAACTTCACGTCAAGCTTCAATAGCACACTCTCTGCACTTAAGGGGACAAGCCCTGCTCCTCTGAAGCCTCCCCGGATGTTTTGCTCTGTAAGTGCTTTCGTGAAAGCCTTATGGAATGCAGGGAAGAAGTCCTCCTTCGTAATATGGGTCAGCGCTGCCGCCAAAGCAAACAAACAAATCAACGCCAAGATTTGACTGATTTGACTGCCTTTTCCCCAAGATTGGTTAATTTGCCCTATTGGCCAATATATCAAACAAATCCATAGAACACGTGACCCGACGACGCCCATACTAATTATCCAATTAGGAAATAAGTGAAGCTATTCACAACTATTTATGATGCAATATGTGAGCCAATCTCAACCCCCATGGGCATGATGGCTTTCCTTTTCAGCCAATTCTTCGTCAACTGCAGCTGACCCATAGTCTGAGGCTTCATTGAGTGCCTTTCCGACGTCAGGGTCAGCTTCGCAGTACTGAATGCCCTCTCACAGTCAGCAGCCATGGCTGGTATTGCCAACACATCAAGAGCTAGTCTACTGAGTAGAGGATACGTTGACTGGTGGTCTCTCCACCACTTAACAGGATCTTCCGTAGATTTAGGAGGCTGCCTGAGGTACGTCTCCAGCTCATCCTGCTGTCGAGAAGGCTCACGACTACGTCTAGTCTGTACCCATTGCCTGAAGTGGCTGTCTTCATGGGATGGAAGTGTGATCTCAAGAACAGCCGTAGAGTCATCAGACTCTTCCTCGGACCTATACCAATGGTCAAAGTAGTCCCTGAGCCCCTTCTTTGCATCACGAACCCACTCAAGCTGAACCCCTTCATCCCAGACTGCCTCAAGGTATGAGATACCAAGTGAAGGGTGGAGAATAACAGAAGCAGCAAAAAAGGGAGACTCCTCTAACTTCGTATAGTATGAGGAGAGCTTCTGCCAGGCCAACTCAACAGAAGTACGAAGATGCTCCTGGTACGAGGAAGAGAAACCCATGAATCGAGCAGTACGTTGACTCCAGTCCTCTCTTACATGTTGTGGAAGTATGGATTCCTGAAGAGGCTGGGTCTGGCTGTTGACTGAAGATCGAATGGGGCGCTCTGATCGAGTCTGTGATGGTAGGGACTCTTTATTAGCAGTCATATTGATCGTAGACGACTCGTCTTCCTGTTGAGAATTAATGGGATGGAGTATGGAGTTGTATAGACTCTTCTACTCCTCTAGATGCTCAAGGAGGTACTCCATGCCAGTCATGACTTCCCAGAGACGACCATGCCCATACCCCTTACCCCATCCATCCGTCCTCTTCGTCTGTAGGTAGAAAGGCTTAAGGATAGACTTGACTTTAACCAAGACTTTCCAATCTTCTGAAGAAAGGAGGTCATCGTTAGGTATCCTTTTATTGGTATTGTCCTGCTCCTGGACCCAGTTGATGTAGGTCTCGATCTCTGCCCTCTTCTGAAGAGCTCGATGGATCATGAGGTAGGTGGAATTCCATCTCGTCTCGTTGTTGAGAAGAAGATATGACTCCTGAGACCCCCTGGCTGAATAGCTCGAAGTCTGACCCAGCATCAACCTCTTGGGCTGCTTTCCTGAATCGCTCAGATCGCTGAGGAGAAGCCCTGATGAACTTCACGATGTTGCGAAGCTTACTAACAGGCCCGGTGTTCCTCCAGAGTTTCAGATCTTCCTCCTCATAATGGACAGACTGGTAGAAGAGTGACTCAGCCTCAAAGACTTTGCGATCAGTACCAAAAAGAAGGGCTCGTGCCACCAGGTTGAGTATGTGGCCGTAGTATCGTATTCTCCTTGCCTGATAGTCCCCCTGATCCATTATAGGGTCGAGTCTCCTGAAGAGGGCAGAGATGCAGGTATCGTTGTTGCTGGCGTTGTCACAGACCACCACACCCACTTTGCCAGTGATATCCCATTGCTGAAGAGTCTCGTAGATATTGTTGGATATGTTGGGACCGCTGTGATCGCTGCTTATGTGGTTGAAGGCGATGAGACGAGACTGGTGCTGGCCTATACTGTTGATGAAGTGGGCAGTGACTGTAAGGTAGGCGTAGTTGTTGGGTGACGTCCATAGATCAAACCCAATATGGATCTTAGTGAGGGCACTGTGGAGTTCATCCTTGACGTAGGATTGCCCCCTAGCGAAGAGAATGGGAAGATAGTCCATTATTGAAGTCCTACCCTATGGCACCTGATCAGCCAGAGAGGAGTTGTGAAGTTGTAGAACTTGTTGAACGAAGCTATCTTGATAGTGGTCGAATGGTAGATCGTTGGTGATGATGGTGGAGAGACAGAGATCTATGACAGTAGCCACTTTCGACTTGGGTATATGGGAGATCTTCCTCCTCTTCGATGAACGAGTGCCATGCTCTGAGCTGTGGAGAGTCTCTCCTGAGCTTGTCTCATCGGTAGCAGAACCCCATTGTGAGACTTGATGGCACCTGTATATAGATCAGTTAACAATAATCATACCAAAGGACATATACGTACCTGCGAAGATGGTCTGCAGCAAAGCTAGAAGCAGTAACGTGAATGATAAGCGAGTGAGACAGACAAGCGAGTGAGACACAAAACTGCGCCGATGAGATAAACTGGCTTCCATATCAACATCAACAGCATCAATTCAATTCAAACTACTCATAATCCTCATCTTCAGACATCTCTTCAATAAACTGGCACGTTCGTGAATTGTGTCCCGGGTGACCACAAACGCCACACCGTCGCTGACCTGTCTCGGCCCTCAGTTTGCAACCACTAGTACGACGCATTTCCTCCTGAACCTGCGCAGTCACATCTTTCTATGACTATATATCTACTACGTCAGCTACAATAAGACTTCCTCCATGTTGTAGGCGTGTTTTCTTAGTTCTCCATCGTCGACTGAGTTGGTTATTCTCGTCTCTAAGAATCTATACCTCAGATCTAAGTAAGGCTACTTGGTGCATGATGCCTCTTGTACCTTTAGAAAGTCGTTCAACAGCCTCGCAAATAGAGGTTAGGGAGCTGCTTTGGTGACGAGTGATCCGACTCTTAATAAAGTTGGATTAAGAGCTTGCCTCTACTGGGTTGTTTGGTGTCCTTGAAACCCAAGGCGGAGGTGTCTGTGGTAGTGATGCTGGAGGCGTTGGAGTGTGTAGCCGGATATCCAGCTTTGATAGGACGCTTTTTGCACTCAGAGGAACAAGCCCAGCTCCTCTAAAACCCCCTTGGATGTTTTTTTCAGTCATCGCTTGACTAAATGCGCTGCGATATGCAGGAAAGAAGTCCTCCTTTGAGATGTGGGTTACGCCCCGCCGCATCTTATCCTCAATTTGTTGCCCATACGCCGTCTTTAGCGGACCAAAGCACCCAACGTCAAGGGGCTGGAGTAGATGAGACGAATGAGGCGGCATACAAAGTGTAACGATCTTGTTTGCCTTGCAATATAGCTCAAAGTCTGTTGAGTGGTGACTTTCGTGCCCGTCGACGACGAGGAGGCGATATTGGCCTCTCAAACGTGGTTTCGTATGACGATCATAGTGCTGGATCCAATCTAGGCCTCTTTCATTTGTTGTCCATCCGTTTTCTGACGTCGCAATGACCCAGTCGTCCGGGAAACCTGACTCTGTATACCAGGT